TACATAATAAATGTATCAAGAATGAATATGTAGCGAGTTATGATAACGACTTTGTAAACACTTTCTCTCTTGGTTATTTTTGCACTTAAGAAAATAGTTTTCTCGAGCGAGTCTTTATTAGTAACACAATACATACAAAGTACAGGATGACCTTAGTAGGTAAATAATATATTTGAAAGGATTCAGACAATATGTTGGTCATGGTGCTCATATCGTTTAGTCCGTAAAAAATAAGCAGTTGGCATTTGTATAAGTAATCTGCCAAAAATAGCCATTAAATAGTAGGTATTTTTAAAATAAAATATCTACACTGCCTTAAGATAGAGTTTACTTTGACTAGAAATGTAAGTACGTACCTATCTCTAATATAATTGCGCGTTTATAATAGTCATCCTCGTGTTTATACTTTATAGACGGAGAACAGTAGTTGTATAATGATGAATCGTAACAACAATATCAATTCAGTAATAACAAACGTGATCGTCTTCTGTGAATATTGTTTAGACATCGATGAGAGAACTGGTAAATTATGTTATACTTAGATATTATGTTAATACTAACTGTTAATTTGAATAACTAACCTTTTTCAGTTGAACGTACATTTTTCTTAATGTATTTTTTTACAATGGCAATGACGTTCAAAAATTTTCGCGCCATTATTGGCTGTACGCTCGTAAAATCTGTGCGACAATAAAAAGCATGAAACGTCGTAAATCTGAGCGTAATTTGGTGTCCCGTCCGTCCCTTCGTTTGTTCAGGGACTACGGTTTGCTTAGATAGTCAAAATCCCAGGCATAATGTTAAATTTAAGTGGGGTTTATTGGGTTATTACAGTGTAGGAGCTGCTGATTAAGTTCAATATGTAGATATGAGCGTCTGGATATGTGCCCGATAAAGATATGTAGCCAATAGCAGTAACACTTTTACTTAATTTCTTAAGGACTGGGGATCTGGGGATAAATACAAATAATATTTATTGTACTCCATATTTCATGTAAATAAAGTTATAAACATGCAATTGATAGCCTTATCGCTAATTGCGATCGATTCTAAACTGTATGCTTGATTGACTGACTACCTTCGAATACAAACTAAGTTGAATAGTTTAGGTAAGGTCTTTGAAATAACACTTTATTATTTTATAACACACTTTTTTTATTATTTACCGAATTTTCTTCAGTGATTCATTTAAAACAAGTTTTGTAGCATCATCTTTTAGGAAATCCGCACAATTTTGTATAGTTATTGGGCTTGTCAAAGAGCTGATCTCTTGTTGGAATTTTAGCTTTTATGATAACCACAATGGTTCGGTGTACATCTATCTAGAGACAACCAATGCTTTTTGATCTTAAATATCGCAATCATTATTTTAATGCATAGCCATATATGTGGATGTGTTGCGGTAACCGACAGAGGTACCTAATAAGGGAGATGCAATTTGAATTTTATGCATCTCAAGTGGCTTGTGAAAATAAGACGAGTGTTTTTGTTCTTATATACCTAACTATATCAAGACTGCCTCGTTGGCCGAGTGGTCGCAAGTGCGACTGCCGGGTAAGGGGTCTCGGGTTGCCGTGTCGGGTAAAATATTACTGGGTTAAAAAAAATTCTCAGTCAGTAGCACGGAGTCTGGAATTGAGCCCGGTATATGGCAATAGGCTAACCTCCTATTACATGGGACTCATAACATAAATAGTGAAAAGTGGGTGTTACATTGTACAGTGACATAATGTGCACCTCTGCCTACCCCTTCGGGGATAAAAGGCGTGATGTTATGTATGTATGTATATCAATAGGTAGCTGAATTCTCTACTATTTTGTTTGCAACTAAACTAGGTAATAATCGCCTACATCTATTAAATCTACAATGCACAAACTTTTCATTATGATTCATCTGTCATTGCAAGAAAAAATCCAAGGTCAGGATTGCCATAGTTTTTATAAATGGCAACATTGACTCATACGCCTACACGTACTATGTAGTTTGTATCTTTATTCTTTTAGTGTGTATCTTTATTCGATTATAGGTCAAGTTGATATAGGACTTCGGGAAGGTCACAGTGGCGCCATCTAAACGGGGTCGCTAGGGTCGTCGAACCGTGTCAAATGGCAAGTAAAGGTTGGAAATTAGATTATCTCTTTATCTATGTGAGCGGTGTACGAAGACCGTAAATGTATGAATGACATGTCTGTATAAAAAGACATGTTTATGCTAATCGAATCGCATCTTTTAGTCATAGATCTAATGTAAATGGTGATGTTAAGATATACTTAATAGTTTTTACAAAGTCTCAAACTTGTTTGTAATCAGATTGTGGGTTTGTTTGTGTTATTAAACTACTAACTAAATTGAGAACTTGGGAGTTGAGAGTGCTAAGTAAAGCAAGACTAAATTAAATATTTATGCACTTACCAGAGTTTTGCGTAGTAGACCTAAAAAGTTAATAAATAAGCCAAATATTCAAGAATTTTCATCAAACGGAGGCACTAGCCAAATAATCTTTTGTTTGTCTAAAACTGAAACAAGGTTTTGTAATAATGGGGAATCATCCTATAGTAAACCCTAGCTCAGCGTAAAACCTAGATCTTTTATAATGGAAGAGATCTACTTTCAAGTTTCAATTCTAAAGTAACTTAATATAGTCTAGATTTCAATGTTTAAAGAAATTCTAGTGCCAGGCACTTAGTATGCTTGTGTTTATGTGAACTCCAGGCAATGTTTTGTTTGTCTAGACTAGTTTATTTTGTTCGCGTCCCGCATCTTCAAATGGCTTAGTCTACAGTCTGCCACATTTATTTATTCTGTAGAATGAAATGTACTGTCCATGTTTAGATTTTTCTTCATATCTGTAGCTACAGTTACAGTTTATATGGAATATTTCGATAATTGTATTGTTGAGCCAACATTTTATAAGATTCACCTGTTTGCTGCTGAGGTTAAGCCTACAGTGAACATAACGCACACTATGCGATTAAACCTTCGTCAAAATACTGCGCTATCCACTACTGAAAGCCGCATAAAAATTGATGCTCTAGTTTTTGAGTAAATCGCGAATATACATAATTATGCGGTGAGAGGTTTTGTTTATAAATGTAGATATTATTATGTAGCATAGCTTTTTAATCTGTAGTATTTTCTACTACAAAAGGATTCCAGAAATAGACATTCTGTATTCAATGTTGTGTATTTATTTATTTGAACAAGACAATAAAAGTAGTAGAATAGTGACATAACTGATACACAAGGATCGTGACTTCGTGAGGTACGGTCACGGTTGTTACCACTGCGGTGTTGGTGACTCATTCCATCTCTGGACTTTGGACTCACTGGCTGATTCGCTCTCGATTTCAAACTTTTTTCCTTTTTTTATAAACGTCTCGTGACCTCCTTTTTAATAGACTTTTTTAATGTTACGTCCAGTTACTTACAGTAGTTGTATGTTGTACAATATTCTTCATTTTGTTGCGGTTGACTTAATCCTGTGTTAACTAACGGTAGGTAATGTTAATCAATTAGTATACGGTTATGTTGTACTTGTCACAGATCATTTTTGTTCGAAATATTGATAGGTTAATTTTTAATTAGAAACTGGACAACGATAAATAATAATTGATATAAATGACATTGGTTTGATAGTGGCAATTATACCAATACCAACTGTCGAAGCCTGAAAACTAAAGTACTTTTGCTAAGATTGGTATTGTTCATAAAACATAGGCTATCAAAAAAATTCGAACAAAAACAAAATATTAGGTTCTACTTTACAAAACAAAAACATGGCGGCGTGAGTGGCCAGTAATCTCAGTAATTGCGAATGGCGGTAAATGCGGTAATACAGGTTTGTGAACAAAAGCCAGGATGTTCGGACATTCGCTGTTTACCGCGCGTATCCGGCACGAGGGTGATGTGACGTATCGGGTGTCGCGACACTGTTGCCATTGTAAAAAAAGAAATCATACACCGTTTGACATTATTGTATTTTATTTTAATTGTTCTTTTTTCTGCTTTGTACTTTTGTTACTGTTTTGTGTTGTCGTCTGTTGTCAGGCACTCGTTTGATAATAATTGTCTAATTACAGTAATAAACGAGTTATTTATTCCGGTTTGTCTTTTGTGAACTTGTTACCTATATAATATACTAGCTTCTGCCCGCGACTTCGTACGCGCAATCTCGTTTTTTCCCGTTCCCGTTCGTGATAATCGATAAAAAGTTAAAAAAAATGATAAAAAGTATTCTATGTCCGTCTCCTGGTTCTAAGCTATCTCCCTGCCAATTTTCATCCAAATCGATTTAGCCGTTCTATAGTTATAAATAGTGTAACTAACACGACTTTCTTTTATATAATATATAGATTACAATGTACAGTCGTGATAACAATTTTATTATACACACGAAACCTGACAAAATATATTCATTTCTTCTTGACATTTCAAACCATATAATTTTAAATCGATGTGTTAAGTCGTCAGATGTTTAAGTATAAACTAGCACTGTACTTAGCAAAGCGCAGGGAATTCTATTGTTAGATTAAAATACAAGAATCAAGTTGGTTACCTAACTTAGCCATGCTTGCAGCTTGTAAACCATGTTCGCAGTTTCGCATTGACATTTAAAATATTACTTTTAAGTTTCACAATGCTGTATAACGACCTACAGCGTAAACGTAGTTCATTGAATTATGTTGCCAGGTACGAAAATGTTGCGCAAACTAAACAAAAACAGTTTTATTGCCGGCCAGTAATAATAAAATAGAACGTTTTTTGAAAGTTTTTAGAACAAACTTACTTTTACTAGTGTTAAATAATAATACCTATTTTTTTTTTTTCTTTAAATGTATTAGAACCTACCTACGAGTCCACTGAAAACTAATTTGTTTTCAATCCCACGGTATTCTTCATACTTGTGTCTATGCAGTTTTTTCTATTAAACAATAAAGTATGGTCTGTTACAAGTCTGTGAAGTGCCAGTGATCTAATCAATGTTTTTATTTTGTTACAGTTGTGGTTGACGTGGACGACCGACCGCTTTGCGTAGAAATCTGTGATACTGCTGGACAGGTGAGCCATTTCTTCTTTAAACTGTCAAATACCAAGCGGTCACCGGTGACCGCAACCTATTGTTCTATAATTGTGTCTGCAAAACCGGTACTCGACGAGTTAATGTTTCTAATTTCAAATTTAATATATGCCTTCACATCCCCTTAATTTTTTTTAAACTTAATATTAATGGCCTTTGCAGAAAGTTAATAGGTACTGTGTGTCCCTAAGAGTTACTTTAAAAGCGAGTCATTTAAAAGTATGTTTTTGCGTCAATTTCTGTGTAATCGAACGTTGTTGGTGTTAAATAACTCTCCTGTAAAGAAGGTACGGTTTTGTACAGTGGCCACGGCCAGCACATAAACCTACTACAATGTGCCAGTTTTTGTTATTGGATATTCGACTTTATGTTTAAATGATAGAGTTGAAAATGTAATAAAAATATTTGACAGATAGGATTAGGTTGACTTGCTGTCTGCTCTACTTACGATAGTTTACGTGGGAACCATCTATGGTTGTTTGTCAGGTCGTTTGGTTTTAGTAAGTGAGCTAAAATAATTATTTTATTACCATAGAGAAATATAGTCGTGTCTGTTTGTTTCTTCATGAGTTCACTGTATATTTATCGCATACGACAGCCGTGACATAATTTCGAATTATCAGTAACATCACACACTATCATTAGTTTATCGATTAGCAACCACAATCACGTGAAAACTAATTTATTGTTAAGATTTGCAAATCGGATACTTTGTACCTACCTGAGCCATGCCTTTTATATTTATACAAGTAGAAGTTATAATCATTTACTAAACTAAGTAATTTTAACATAGAAACTGCATACTTCCTTCCAATTTTAAACGCAAAACAAGATGGCGGCATTCTCACGACCATCATCACCTGGCCTAGCGCCATATTTATTTAACAAAAAGGTAGCATTATGCGAAAAAAGAAAAAAAAAAACCAGCACGTGCATTAATCTATTACCTCCTACGCCGGATTCATTTTTTTTTTGTATGGACAATAGACAAGGACAAGGTACAATAATTCCCACAGTTTCTCTATAGAAATTGTTATAGTGTGCACATGTGGAAGAATACAACAGAACAGGTGATAGATGACATAACCTGCTTTATTTTGTGGTGACGAATGAAACGTTTTGACTTGGTGACTTTTATCCCAATGAACTTAGAAGACAATCTGCAGCGTAGAGCTAAGAAATACGTTCAAAATTAGCTTCTACGAACGGCTTCGATCACCTCCCCATGAGAGAAAAGTAGCTTAATTATTTGTTATTCCAGACCATAATCTATCCCTGTTCCAAATTTCATCTTTAGCTCTTCAGCCGTTTTTACGTGAAGGCGTAACAAACAAATAAACATACTCCGCATTTATAATATTAAAGTAGGATGCATATTCACGTATCTACCTGTGGAGTATATCTAAGTTATGTTATTACTTAACATTGTATGACCATGTCTATTGTGTTCGAACGTTTGATTACTTACGAGCACCGATTCGTTCAGGCAGTCACATCACAATGACTCCAGTCCTGCGAATCTCGCATGAAATATTGAACGCTCATTGAAAATGTGATGAATGTGCTCACTGTCCTGTTCCATGAAATCCGAACATGTTACATTATACAATTATTTATTTCATACGAAGAAAGCGACCGACGAAAATAATTTATCGCCAAAATGCATGCAATACTCAAGAAGGTGGTTATTTAGTTATTTGCTCGACATGTAACGCAACTGATTGGCCAATCGTTTTGTTGTTAAATCTAAAACTTTCCTCAAAAATTACTCGACTCACAGGTGAAAACCCTTTTAGTACATTTTGTGTATTCTGAACAAATACAGAGGGACTTTCTTTTATAGTAGATTTTCAGGATTTTTATGGCATAAGCCGGTAAACGAGCAGACGGATCACTTGATGGTAAGCAATCGGCGTCGCCTATGGACACCTGGAGCACCAGAAGCGTTACAAGTGCTTTACCCGCCTTTTGGGGATTAGAAGTTTGAGGGTGGTTGGGATTCAGGAATTGGAGAGATTAGGGAAGGGGAGGGTAATTGGGCCTCCGGTAACCTCACTCACACGACGAAACACAACGCAAGCGTTGCTTCACGTCGGTTTTCTGTAAGGCCGTGGTATCACTCCGGTCGAGCCGGCCCATTCGTGCCGAAGCATGACTCTCTCACACCTAAAAGGAATGTTTGAATTGTTTTTAAAAGCTAAATCGTTTTATTATTCTATATTTTAAGCGCTCACGTTAATACCATAGAGATTATAAATTAAATTATGTATTCTTTTGTTTAGAATTTTCTCAATGTCGTCGGTTCATTGATACGAGATCTCTACTATGAATGACAATGAAAGTGAAACACGTACGTAATATAACTGTATGATAAATTAGAGAAACTCCTCAGGGGCATTAGTGAAAACGAATGAACATACATAAATACATAGACACTTATAATATGTATATTTATGTGATATAGAATTATCTTTAAGTGAGATTATTCAAGTTTTTCATTGGCATTATGGAACGAATCCTATCAACAACCTGCAAATGTTTCAATCCTGGTCAAAGGTCTTCTCTCATAAAAAGACGGAATGAGCATTAATCGTCAGTCGTCACCCATGTTCAATTTAATTTACGATTTCAAACTTTAAGTTCAAATTAAAAGTCCAGGTTTCCTTATGTTTTCCTTTACTGTATGTCGATGGTGTCTAAAGTGTAGAATCAATTAAAAAAATATCTGGGTATCTACAGATACCCAGATATTTTTTTCTCAACCAACTCTACCCAAATCTACAGATTTGCTGACTGACTAAAGATAGAATTTTAACATCAGCTTCATATAAAATGTGTAATCTGTCGGTCAGTAAACTTACTAGTCAAAGCATCCACATTATGCAACAGAATTTCATCGAAGCGTGGCCAAATAAGTGTTCCGTGGATGGCAACATACAATCTTTCCAATCAGCCCGATATGAAATCATAGTTCACTATAAAAGGCGCCATCTATGTACAAAGGGTTGCGCAACCTCCGGTAACCAGTAACCACGAAATAACCGTCAAATTGATGGTTGCTGTCAATACTTTCACTGGTGCTACTATGGTGTGGTGATTGGCAACTTAACACTTATGTACTAAACAATTTTATAGACTCCGTGGTGACCCGGAGGTTTACGGACGGCAAGTACCAATGTGACTTTTTCCGAGTTATATGTGCTTTCTAAGACACCACTGACAAAAGGTGAAAGAAAACATCGTGAAGAAACCTGGGCTTATAATTTCTAATCATAAGTTTGAAATCGCCAACCCACGTTTAGCAAGCGTGTGTAATACTCAAACCTTCTCCGTGTGAGAAGAGGCTTTTAGTCAGCAGTGACGCCTTATAGACTGTTGATGATGATGATGAATTCCGCTAGCGTTTTGGGGTATTCCGCGAACAAGTCTTTCTAACTGGCCGAAAAAAACAAACAAAACGCTTTCCTACTTATTTCTTATCCTATACACAGGGGCGTAGCTAGCGCCGTATCTGCCGTATCAATTATACGAGGCCCCCGGGCTACAAGGGCCCCCGTGCCTAAGCAAAAATTAATAAAAACTTCCCAAATTTTATTCTATTTCTGTAATCGCAAAAGTCAAAATAAACGATTTTTTCAAAATTTTTATACGGGGCAAGGCACGCGACGCCACTGCCTATACAAATCAATTCGTTACAAGTCTTACGATACTTTACAATTGTGTTATCATTCTTAATTAGTCGGTCAGAACAATTATGCCGAGGTACAGTTAGTTATCAAATGTTCTGTTCGTTGACCCTACACGCGTCGCGGTATGATCCGGTTGCACCGTTATGGTAATGATAAGTCAAGTTATCCCTTTTTTGAAATTGTTTCGTGGTCCAAAATTTATTTTGAATACCTTTTGGCTTACGTTGCCTTGTTCATCCGTGTATTATCTTAATCTGAGAACGTCACTGGCTATCATTATAACGTCATTTTTGACATCGGTCTCTATATAGGGATCATCTTATTTTAGTGACACAATTGTATATCAACGCAATGTTCATTATTTAAACTGTCAAACACCAAGCGGTAACCGGTGACCGCAACCTATTGTTCTGAGGTATAATTGTGTCTACAAAACCGGTACTCGACGAGTTAAACTCATTAACTGCCGAAATCGATAACTGAACTCAAGCCAAAGTTGTATGGAATTGCTGTCCAGATATTTTGGATTAACTCTTCAAGCCAGCGGGCTTGACGTGTGCTTTTTGACGGTACATAATCAATAAATTAAAGGTAATTTTTTTCTCCATTCCAGGACTCAATGTCCGAGCTCCGGGAGCTCTGTTACCCTGGAACTGATGTGCTGATGCTGTGCTTCTCCGTGGTGAGGCCGGAGACCTTCAGGTCTGTCGCGGAGAGGTGGACCAAAGCTGTGGCCAATGTGAACGCGCCGCTCATACTTGTAGGCACGCAAAGTGACCTCGCGCAAGATCCTAGAATTCTACAGACTTTGAGGGTGAATGTTTTATTTTAATTTTAATTAAGTATATAACTCCTCTGCCTCGTTGGCCGAGTGGTCGGAAGTGCGATTGCCAGGCAAGAGGTCTTGGGTTCGATTCCCAGGACGGGCAAAGAAGTACTGGGTCTTTTAAAAATTCTCAGTAGTAGCACGGAGTCTGAAATTGTGACCGATATCAAAACGCTCATCCCCTATTACATTGTACTAATAACTTAAATAGTGAAAAGTGGATGTTACATTGTGCAGTGGCATTAAGTGCATTAATGTTCACCTCCGCCTACCCCTTTGGGGATAAAAGGCGTGATGATGAGTATGAGTAATTAGATATAAGTAATAACATGGACAAAATGATTTGGTCTAGCGTTACAAGAGCGACTGTATAGTGTATAGTAAACCTTTGCTGTATGGATTCTCGAGTTAGACAAAGTATAAGTGTACCCACTAAGATGTGATATCTCTGAACATTTCGAAAAACCCAATATCTCTTGGCGGTTGCGCAGTTCCGCTTATCGCTAACCCTTTGGAGAATAAAGAACGGTCTGTTATGTTATGTAGTTTTATGTTCCGCTATTTTATGTCTCTTAAAGCCTAAGAACATGTTAAACAGACTATTTAACTGGAATAATTTTAATATTTCAGAGTCGAGGCGAGCACGTGGTTACAGAACTCGAGGCGAAGGCATTAGCAGCTAAGATCGACGCAGTCTACATAGAAACATCAGCTAAAACAAGGAAACAGTTAAAGGATGCTTTCGATGCCGCCATTTTGGCAGGCCTGCCAATAAGACACTGCAAAAAACCTTTTTGGAAGAAACTATTCTGTTTAAGTTAAAATATTTTAGATAAAAATGGACTATTTTGTGTATGCCTATTTGGAAATTGTTGTGTACAGTTGTACTGTATAGAAATTGTTGGAAAAAGTGACGGACCAGTTTAAAACTTCGTTATCTTTTGTAGATAGATAATTAATAATCATTTATCGGATACTAGCAAGCTTTAAATGTTCTGTCTGTGTTATCACTGTTAGAAATTTTCACTGCGAAAGAAAAATTTTAAGCTTTACTATTTTTTCGACTTGTGTTCCTGTTCGGAGTGCCTTTAGAAATGTATTAGCATTCGCACATCGAAGTTTGTTGCTATTAAGAAAGTGCCAGGCGCGCCTATATTTAAATTCTGTAAGAATAATTAATTCCAAGAAAATCTAGTGTGACTTACTTTTTGTCAAGTTATTTTCGAAATTTGGATCTTTTATTATTTGTAGGTACTATTAAATTCTAAAGTTGTTTCTTCAAATAACTGTTATCTACCTATATTTTGTTAATCTGGTTGCAAAATATTATCTGTTGTTTCTACATTCCTTTTACTCGAAAGATATTTTTGTAATCACATGCATTATAGTGTCACACACTTGGGATGGGAACATCTGATAGTATGTAATACTTATTACGAAGGGAATAAAGTTGAAAATAACTTAAAATGATGAATTTTAAAAGAAACTCTCTACCTGATAAGCGATTCTGAGTCATAACAATTTAAATTTTGTACTAGTCTTAGTGCGTCGTTTGAACCAGAAAAACTACCCTTATACCATAATTTCTGCCTATCCTAATATGTTAAGATCTTCTTAATGTAAAAGTTTTTGAAAATATTACTCTTTCACGCAAAAATAAGCGCCGCCCATAGACAGATGAAACACCAGAGGCGTTACAAGACAAGTACGTTGCCGACCTTTTGGGAATTTGATAGATTTGAATGAAATTTAGTACAGAGATAGATTAAAGTCTGCAATAACATATGGGGCACTTTGTATCCACTAGTTTATTATTAACACGACTTAATATTGACAACTGTGAAACTTGTAGTTTGGCGGTTATCAATATACACAATACTATAATTACTCAAAATATCTGTCCAAAAATAAAAATAGCTCTTTTAGACCTATGTCTATACCAATCAGCTCATAAAGATATCCCAATTTGTCAGATTTCTTGAATACTTTATTGTTTTGTAATAAAGATAGAAATCCATTGCAAAGACAGATTGCAAGCTTCCTGTACATTTTTGTAGATATTTGGTTTAAACGAAGTTCTAAGTTTTAAACTAATTGATTTCTGACAGAAATATTCTCAATTTGACGAAAAAACCAATCGCTATGATCAGGATCAATGGCGTAAAAAAGGGCCTATTTATAGCATGGCTGAGATTTACAATGTGTATCAAATAATAGTGGTCATAATTTGAAGTTTATATACTGCTGGGTTCTCCAATTTAGCTTTCCATAGATGGCGCCTTCAGCGTTTTTGGAGACTCTTAATTTATGATCATAAACGATAATCTGTCTCTGTCACACACTATCGAATTACAAGTGGAAGAGGGAGACAGAAACATGAAAATTAAATATCTCAGCCATATATCAAAGGAGTTCTAACTTTATATTGTTGTACAGTAATCATAAAAAATGTAATTTTAAGTGTTATAAGTGTATATATTGGATAATTATTTTAATTAATGTTGTTTTGATACTCAACACGAACTGAATATAATAATATTTTATTATAATTAAAATGTTTGTGTTTTATTTCTAAAATTCTAACCACAACACTAATCTTGGTTTGCAGTATTTTCATTATTTTTCTCTAAAACGCAGCTCTTTCTGAGACTAAACTCACTAAGTATCGTAAAAATCAATGGGCAGGGAGGCAAGTGCATCTACCTATATTAATAAAAGTACCTATCTCTAGTTTTTGAGATATTTTTTTACTATCACCATTTACACTCTGATATCCATTATGTTCGGAGAATTTTGTAAGTAGAAAGTGGGCCCATTTCAGTCAAAGTCATTCACACCTCTATTGACACATTGAAATATGTCTATAATATAATATGTCCTAGGCGAGTTCTATAATCTAGTTCTATTTTGGCTTTACGTTATTAGTCTAGGAATCAATCAGGTTATGAACAGACTAAATAAAAAACAACGCTTATATCAAATCACAGCGTATATTTTGATAAGGTAAACATATTACGTAATGCAGGGAATTGTAAGTAACTTCTTTTTATACAGATATATTCGTTTGTGACGTTTAAACGTCCCATACTTCATAGGGCGTGATATTCATTTGGGTGCTGAACAGCAATTCTGTGATGATGACAGGACCAGGGCGCAGTGTGGAGACATTGTTACCCTACCTTTTTGAATTTTGTCTCTGAAACAATAAACAAAATAAAAATTAATAGAGAAAAAGATTTTAATTCAGAAATGTTTTACGGAAACAATTCAATCCAGAATGATCCAGTTTCAATTTCTACGAAACACACTCGGGTGGACTAAAACAGACAGACTGAAATAAAAAAGCATCCTAGTATTTAAGATGTGGGATTTGTTCTTGCTCTTTATATCATCTGACCACTTACCTACTCTATTAAATTGGGGTTTCAACCAGAATTCCCGATGCCAAAGAATTACCGTTAACTATCATAGTTAAAGTTCAACCTAAAAAAACGTGACGTCATCTTACCCTTTCTCCAATTTGCAGTAAGTTCCGGAAGCTTCCACCTGTAGGTCACGAGGCAGCAAGTGTAGATCGCTGAGATCCACGGGGATCTCAGCGTCATACAGATTGATGACACCCACCACTACGGGGTGCCCTGGCAGGAACCTGGAAATATACGAGTATGATTTAGTGACTACCTTGATGAACCATCAAGCACCTTACGAGTACGAAGGCTTAGGTATCCCACCAAGACTTAGGTTTAACGGTCATGCTCGTTCTAGCAAATAGATACCAAATGCGAAAATTGCTTCTGTCCCGATATTTTTAATTTTATGAAGACTGTGAAATTTTGTCTTGACTTCCCACACTAAGAAGGGGGATGCGATATTTAAAATGACGTCGAGTTTTTAGCAATTAGGTGCGTGACCTCTTATCAATTTCAGCTCCTAATCTAGGAAAAGTGTGTTGTTTTATACTCACCGAGCAACAGTCAGAACATTTTCACAGATTGCGCGTACTTCTAGGTCCCCAGAGCGGACGGCAGGCAAACGCTTGACAGCAACCAGTTCTTTGTAGAACTAGAAATGTAGAGGATTTGAGACACATAGTGAGTACGTTAGGTAGGAGCCCTATGTCTGTAAGGCCCAGGATTTAATACTTAGTGCATTAATCATTATTATGAACCGGAACGTGTCTATAGATGAACAAAAGCTTCCCCAGAGAGGTTTTCTCAAATCTATTCATGAAGGCAGGAAGACGAATTATAGATAACTCCTGACCTTGTAGTGACTCTTAGCGGCTGCCTTCTCAACGGCGACGTTGACAGTCTGGTAGTTGTCGGCGACGGGCAGCCAGGTGGCACTGGCGGTGGAGAAGCCCGCGTTGGCGGACGCGTCCCAGTGGAAGGGAGTACGCGCGGGGTCGCGGCTACTCTTCCAGTAGTTTATGGGGTCTTCCGTGTTGCAAGCCTGAGGATCTTTAGTATCTTTCCAGCTCACATGACCATCTGTCATCCCGATTTCTTCTCCCTGTAAGTTCATTGAATTCGATAACAACTTGAGGCCTTGGTACGAGTTTGTTTCACAATCAAAGTAATCGAAACGAGACGGCGTTCGACCTGATTGGTTGATTCATTGAAGCCGGCCAATGAGAACGCCGAACGCGTACTCGTACGAAGCCCTCTGAGAGGATGGTGATTTGTTTAATAAATATGTTAAAGCTTTTTGGAGAAACACCCCAATACATATTTGAAGCAGCACCTGATACGTAATGGTAATTCCAGGCAGGACGAGAGCCAGCATGTTCATAACATCAACCCTGTCGATACCGAATTTTGAAGCCAGTCGACTTTGATCGTGATTGCCATTCTGTAAAACAAAGTTAGTCTGAAATGTTTTTTAAAGTAACTTAGGTATTAACATTGTTCATTTATACTTTTGTATCTTTTTATTACTCAAGGAAACTAAAGAGCCTTAGATTGATCAAAACCAATTTTTAAGTTTACTTATAATGTTCTGCTTTTGGCACGTGAAACAAAGTCTATACATACCACCCAGTTAGCCACCTTCCCAGTAGGCATATGTGTCATCCACTTATCAATGGTCATCTTCATGTCTCTTGCGTTTGACTTATTGTTCAGTTCAGTAAGATAGAAGAAATTGAAAGGAACTGAACCATTGTGGTTCTTGTCGCCATAGTAGCGCATGATTTTGGGCAAATCTGCATAGGCTTCGGTTAGTATGATTTTGGAATCATTCTGTTTTTCAGTATACTGATCAAGAACGACTTTCAAATCGTAAACGATATTATAAGTTTCATTCTGGTCCTTGGTATAGATGTGGTTCAAGTAATTATAGTCTTCTGGAGTAGCTCCAGGCGCGCCTGAGAAGAAGAATGAAATTGTCATGATTCCTTACAAAAACTCAAGTTTGCTAAATCAGCCCATTTTCATTTTGAAGTACTTGATAGTTGGTAAGAACGGCTTCCCTTTTAAGGACTTAAAAACTTGTCATTTTTCTCATTATTTTTAAACTGTAAATTGTACCTACTTACCTGAGAGGGGCTCATCAGGGTAATGCCCATCATAGTTCGCCGGGTCCACTTCATATAAATGATTGATAGCATCAATACGGATGCCAGAAACTCCCTTATCCAGCCAGAAACGAAGAACGTCCTGCAAAAATACAGACTTTTCTTTTTTAAATGATACCTACCAACCTCGTATCGGCGACATTCTCGGTGCTATAGTTTGTAGATGTTCATTGGTTGCAAGTTACGGTAGCTGCATACCATTATTGGGATCAATGACACTATGATTTAAATATTTGTCGTTAGAAGTTTTAACATTGAACCTATGGATGGGAGATGTCTCATTGCTTAATACTTTAACTGCTAAGTTTAAAATGGTGGAAGTTAAACCTCGACTAGCGCTGACGCTAACCAGTCCCTTTGCTTGAGTACAGGTTACTGACGTGGCTCTCTAAAGGTTAAGATAGAACCTACGAGGATTTCGTAAAATGTTAATAGGAGTGTACCTACCTTCATTTCTTCGACCACCTTTGCATTGCGGAAGTTAAGGTCGGGCTGCCCAACGGCGAACTGGTGCAAGTAGTACTGACCTCGCTGGACGTTGTACTCCCAAGCACTCTTGCGGAAAACGCTCACCTGAATACAATTAGAAAAGATTTTGAGGCACAAATAGCTTTTGTAGTTTGGAAAATGAAGAATTAAAGTACTAATACAAGTAAGTAACACTTGCACGGTTGATACTGGTTGCTCTGTCACCAAATGCTATGCATCGTGTGTGTAGGAGTCATTCAAAGGGTGGGGTGATTTACAAAATAGTGGTATCGGATCTGGGTGTAAAACTTGTAGTGTAGGTGCCACAGCGGTATTTATAACCATGCCTTAAACGCAGGAAAATATTACGTACATTTCTACAGTAGTTAAAGTTATACGGTTCCACTACACACTTCAACAGTGCATTTTATGGAACTACCATTACTCACCCAGTTGTTGGGAGGTCCTAAATAGTCAGGATTCTTCGGGTCCGGTTTGCCATGGGCCCAAATGTAATAGTCTGCGTAATTGGGGTCTCTTTGCGTAGATTTGATAAACCATTCGCTCTCGTTACTCGTGTGGTTTATCACGTAGTCTAATACCACACGGAGACCTAAGGTCAAAGAAGATAAGTAAGTTTTACCTTTCACCAACTCGTCTAGTGGTAAGTAGTAAGATGATGTGGCTGACGATGGAGTACACCTTTGAGGACATAATAAAATACTCGTAGTGAAATATCGTAACGTATATAGTAGAGTAACGAAAGAAGTATACAGAGCGGATATGAATGGGGCCGTCGGTAGAGGGCTCTAGACGGACTTATTCTGAACAGATTGGCGTTATATTAAAGATGGACAAATTAAAAGTACCCTTAACCGAGCATGCATGAAAAGATTGATGACTTTTGATGAAGAGAAAGGCGTATGTAAGAATCGTAACAATTGGCGTTCCATAGTCTCTGCCTACCCCCATGGGAGACAGGCGTGTAGTTATGTAATGTTTGTGAAAATATCTCTCTCTGCCTACTTCATAAATGATGATGATGGGATAAATGATGATGATGAATTTGATTACAGAAATTAAGCGTTTATGCGTAAAATTACAACAGCAAACTATTCATATGTTTAACATCGTTAAAACAAATCGACTTTGTTCCGTTGCTTGTCTAATGTCTTCCAATTCGTATTAACGTTTACTAACAGTTGCAGTTCACAAACGGCGGAAGTCGCCATTATCTGTCCGATTGTCGCTGAGATCGTATCACACATAATTATCATGTTCAGATTACCTTCTTTGCCTTGTAAAACCAGGAAACAATGTGTTTGTAAGTAGTTTATAAGTGCGTGGGTACATAATATGCAAAAAGTATAATAATCGAACAATATTTATGACCCAAGAGACGATCAAAGATTGTTTAAGGCTAAGGGTAGTGACTGCCTCGTTAGCCGAGTGGTCGCAAGTGCGACTGCCGGGCAAGGGGTCTCAGGTTCGATTTCCGGGTCGGGCAAATTGTTACTGGGTTTTTCAATAGTAGCACGGAGTCTGAAAATTTGCCCGGTATATGGCAATAGGCTCACCCCCTATTACATGGGACTCATAACATAAATAGTGAAAAGTGGGTGTTACATTGTGCAGTGGCATTAAGTGCCGTAATGTGCACCTTTGCCTACTCCTTCGGGGATAAAAGGTGTGGTGTTATGTTGTAGTAAACTTTTGGGCATCATTCATCATCAGCTGTTTATGCTGGATATCTGTTCAAGAACATAAATTAGCACGGCGAGTGCGGTTGAGCTCTTTTTTTACCGCTCCGAATCTTACCACCGCGACCGGTCACTTTTCTAGCTTTAACTCTAGCCAAAACATGTGCTACGTGTAGACTTATGACTTTCTTATAGCTCGGCTGGAAGCGACTAGACAATTACTTACCCAGTTTTTTAGCCTCTGCCATTAGTCTATTAAAATCTTCCATAGTGCCATACTCCGGCGCAATTTTTTTGTAATCTGTGATGTCGTATCCGAAGTCTAACATTGGGGATAGGAATATTGGGGATAGCCATATCGCATCCACTCCAATGTCCTTCAAGTATGGTAACTTTGATGTAATTCCTGTAAACCAAAAATGATAAATCAATAGCCTATGACTGCCTGCTGGACTGTAGTCATCCTCTACATCACAGACAAGCCCTAGCGTTTATGTGATGTCGCGGAGAACCTAACGGGTAACCGGGGCTCCGACTCGACGTGCAGGAGAAGGAACGGAGTGGTTTTTAGTCAGTAAGAGTCTGACACTCCCTCCTGCCTCACCCAGGCGGGAGCAGTCATTCAATGATTTTCCCCCTTAAAAAAAAGCGTTTATGTGCTTAAACTGTACCTACAATTATCGGTGCATCGGTGCTCGGTTATATTTGTCGGTTTTGCATGCAAAGTTATAACCATCATGCAAACCCTAGCGTGTGTGGCCGCCTTTACACGCAGAACATACACACATATTGACACAGGGCCATCTGTATTTTTTTTTAAGTTTAGCACAAATAAATAACTCACTGACAATAATTTTGGTGCTTCAATCATTTCTGAGTGACATTATGTCTGCCTTTTTCAATATCCTTGGCAGTTACATTGAATATAACTTTACACACATATATTTTTTCTGTTCTGTGTTAAAAACATTGCGACGCGACACTTTGTGTAACAGCTGGTCATCCAGCCATGGTGTCGACCATACACTCAATATGTACTAAATTCAACTTTAGTTCGGAAAATAAATGATAATCACTCACCGTTTATGTCTCCGACCCCATCTCCATTGCTATCCTTGAAGGACCGCGGGTATATCTGATAAATGATAGCCGAGTGCCACCACTCATCCACCCCAGAAACTACAGCGACCGTTGCTATTACTAGTAACAATATCTCTCTCATTTTGGCTCTAAATCCTGTAAATATTTGGCGATTAACAAGAAATTCACAGATAAGATGTTTAGTGTAGTTTCTGTGTATTTCTAAGAATAAAAGCATAAGAACTATACTAAATAAAGGACCAGTAAAGTTCAGCCGTTAAAAAAAGCTTAGAAAGAAACTATTTAGACTTAGGTACGTTGCGCGCCCCAAAGGAAACTTTCTGATCCATTAATTTGTTTACTTACCAACCGATTTGTTATTATGTAGGTACCTATTATAAACACTCTTTACCCCGGAACCAAAAACAACCAGGGCAATGAAAACACATAGGTATTAAAAAAATATTTAAGCTCTCACCCACCTGCAGCCACGGTCACGTCGCGAATAATCACTTGTAGAGACAATGTCAATTGCTTATAACTCTTCGCATGCAAATGTTTTGTGAATAAATCACACTGTTATTATAGATAAGTACAATGTGAACTATAAAGTAAATATTTTTATCAAACCATCAATGCAGGTGCCCAAGGTATTGAATTACAGTTAATGCATTGTAATGCGGTCGAAGTTTTGATTACCATTCGTTATTGTTAAGCCTTTAATTAGGTTGAAGCGGAATTAATGATTAGCTGCAGTTGGTATTTGAAATATTGATAAGTCGTAGAGGGTGGTATTGAGTGAGGAACTTATATCCCTCAATTTCTTATTAATTCATATTCATATTAGGAATGTTATTTAATGTGGTGCTATAATTTATTCACTGTCGGATATGGCTGTATTAAATATAATTCTCACGTCGTATAATTCGCACAAAGTATTGCTGGGCTCTTTATAAATTACGCAGTATATGGCAACAGGTTTACCCCTACATGGGACTTATCACATAAATAGCGAAAAGTAGGTGATATATTGTATTGCATTAAGTGCCGTATTGTGCACCTCTGCTGTAATCTGGAGCCCTTTGGGGATAAAAGGCGTGATGATATTTAAAACATAGAACTGACGTGTCTACTTTTTCCGTTTTCATTAGATTCCATTTGCACTCGTTAACTTACATTTACGATGCACTTATATAATACGTTTCGCTACATAAGTCTGTTTTGAATATCTGAACGCAACATTTACATCAATTTTGACACTGACAACACAACATTTGAACTTCATTGTCAATCAGTCAGCACTCAGCAGTTATGTCACTGTCACTTGAAACAATAAACTGACCGACCGAAAACACCGCGCCAAATTCACTAGTGTTGTATTATATTAGTGTTAAATACTATTAAAAAAACAGAAATGGCAGATGAAGATCATTACGACGACGTGGATATATCAGATTTAATTGACGAGTCCGACCATTATCTCGAGGCTGACCACCAACACGCCGAGTTGGAAGCAACAGACTCTGAACATATAAACACGATACAGGATTCAGATTTACTAAGTTCTGAGGAGCAAACTATAGACAGTAAAAAGCCTCCACCACAAAACAAGAGTGAAGTTATTCGTTCCACTAGGCTACCAATAGCTAGAATCAAGAATATCATGAAAATGGATCCTGATGTTAGCGTTGTATCAGGGGATGCAGTGTTTCTAGTCACTAAAGCCACCGTAAGTTTAAAATACTTTCAATCGTGATGACGCAGTATGTCCATATCGTTTACACTTCCTTTTATCCTTTCGCAAATCTCTGTCGTTTTATATTTAATAAAAGATCTGTTAATTTCTCCTCAGAATAGCTTCCACCTCCTCATCATATATTTATTTGTTAAAGAGGTAACACCTCTATTATAATAATGGCTTAAATTTACTTTTTCCATAATAATGTCTCAAAACATGTCATTGTTTTCCAGGAGCTGTTTTTGGAAACTATAGCAAAAGAAACATATGCATACACTGCTACAAATAAAAGAAAAATTATAGCAAAAAAAGATTTAGACCTGGTCATTAACAAAGTGGACTGCCTTTGTTTCTTAGAAGGTGCTATGGACTTTTAGTGAATTGTATTTAAGTGTCACCTATGTAAGAATTGTGTAATATTCTTGCAAGTTCTGATATAATTATTATAAACTAATGTGTAAGTGAAATTGTGTTTTAGTTTTATAAACATTGTACCCAAGGGTTAATGGGTAATAGTGAGTTCATACCTCCCTACGGTATCAGCAGTTAACCTTTTCACCGCCACGCCATATCGGTATTCCTATGCCCTGTATGCCAAGCCCGAAAATCTTAATTAAAGGTGTATCAATAAAATACATAAAAGTAATGATTTAATATGTTTATTTTGTTTTTTTCTTCGACCTGTTTTTTGTCGAGTATAGCCGTCGTTGGCGCACAGGGCACGCTTGCTCATGTCGGCTATAGCCGACATTGGCGTTCAAAAGGTTAACCAGCAAATTAACTACAGATGTTTTGGTGCTTTAATAATTTCTAAGTGACATTATCAATGTCCTTGCTGCAAGTACTGTCTTTGTATGTACCCTTAAACATAATTAACAAACTAGACAAAAAGTTGCCATAAGAAAATAACTTATAACATTTTAAACTGTCAAACACCAAGCGGTCACCGGTGACCGTAACCTATTGTTCTATAATTGTGTCTATAATGACGTACTCAACGAGTTAACTCTTTTTTAAAAGGCCAGCAACACACCTGTGACTCCTCTGGTGTTGCAAGTGTCCAAGGGAGGCGCTGATCGCTTACCATCAGGTGATGCGTCAGCTCATTTGCCTCCTATTCCATAGTAAAAGTAAAAATCCAAAATGACAACCACAAGAAATTTATTTATAAATAATAACAAAAGTATAAATTAAATTCATTACAAACAATTATATGGACAAGTCTATGTGAAGTGGGGATCTACAAGTTACTACTTATGTTATTCTCTATTTACAACATATTAATAATTTAATCTATACTTATACAAGATATTCCCACATACACATTGATGTCGTTTAGATGGAAATGCTATATATTTTGAAAGATAACACAAAATAACAGCCTGTTTCAGTTGCAAATTCTATAACATCCTGTCATTACAAATAGAGGTGTTTTTAAGTAAAGAATTGATCTATTTTCATGGAAAGACATAAATAACTCGACAATGTTATACTGAAGTAATGCTTGAAGTTAGCTACAAGACTGTAAAATACACCTTTCAAATCCTGAGTCTTGATAGCTCATGATACTAGACTCCAGTTATTAAAAACAATCTCAATAACAAAAAACTATAAAACCTCACTAGAAAAACGCATGAAAAGGCTTCATGAATGAATTTTTAAATTACTGTAGGAATAAGAGCAATGTTATAATGCTGTACAACATTAATGGGATCGTGAATGTTGGGGCACTGCCACCGGGGGAGGGGACGGGGGTGGTTCCATTGCCAGAGTCCGTGCCGTTGTTACCGCCAGGGTCTGTACCGTTCCCGTTGCCACCAGAATCTGAACCAGTCTGTAGTACCATAGCGCAGTTGCCAGACACAGTTAGACTGTTTCTTTGTACTTGTACCCTGTAAAAAGTTTATTATGTCATTTGTAATCAGCTAGTTTAACCAATGAGGTTTTGGGTACATATAAATAAAATATCTCCTATGGGTCTTACAATGGCAAAACTAAGCGATTACTAAGGTGTGCTCAACCTTTACCTTAGTTCTTTTTTCCCAATTTCTTATTATTGGCTCCATTCGAAGCCATTGATGTCGTTGTGGCTCGGACGTTCAAGACGCCTGCTTCCCATGCATTAGGGTGCGGGTGTGAAACCTAGCAAAGTACCTACCAGTGTGACTTTTTCCGAGTTATATGTACTTTCTAAGATTATTTAGTCACCACTGACAAACGATGAAGGAAAATATCGCGAGGAAACCTGGGTTTATAATTTCTAATTATAAGTTTGAAATCGTCAACCCGCATTGAGCAAGCGTGGTGATTAATGCTCAAACCTTCTCCGGCTGTGCTCAGTAGTGGGCATTTATACGCTGTTGATGTGTATTCAAAGCTTGTCTGTAAGAAATAGCATTCTGCAATAAGACCGCCTATTGTATACATTCTATTTTACAATTTTTTCTTGTTTTAATGGTGTACAATGATGTGTAAAATAAATAATTAACAGATAAAGTGAAAAATAGAGCTACGGATGGATTGTTGGACTTCAGACTCCTAGATTAATATGACGACAACTAGCTGTCTAGCAACTATCTTTAACTTCATCAACAGCTCATGAGAGTCACCTGTTATATCACAGGCTTCCTCTACATACGAGTTTTTCGAATATCCAGTGACACTGGGCGGTAAGAATAGCGTTGTATATTCTATTTTGCTGTCACCGTACTGCTTAATAATAACATTTGAACGATGTATTGTAATTTCAACATTTGATAACTTTATTTTCATACTATTGAGCTAAGTCGAGTTTGAGAGAACGTCTCATACGTCGTCTTTTCATGCTCCATCACTTTTCAAGCAGTCCTATGTCTCTAAGAAATAGTCTGTGTACTCTTCAAATCTCCGTTTAAACGAAATAAAAACTTGTCACAAGAAAAGAAGTAAAAACACGAAATGACAACCACTAAAAATTTATTTATAATGATAACAAAAGTATAAATTAAATTAAAAACCAAAATTATGTTATTCTCTATTTACAATACTTATATTAATAATATAATTTAATCCATACTTATGTAAGATATTCCCACATACACATTGATGTCGTTTAGATGGAAATGAATGATATACACTACAGAATCATGCCATTGTTAAAGGAGGTAAATTGGTAGGTTGTAAGAAAAAAAACCATTGATGTATTGGCTTGAAAAAGGTAACTAAGTGGAAACAAATACCTTTAACAATGGCTGCCTCTTGTCTGGTGCACGACAAGAAATATACAGTATGTCTTGCTAAGACTGTTTAGAAATTCTTATGTCATTTCCTTTCTAATTCTGTATCAAGATGGTTCATACTAGACTCAGGTTATTAAAATCAAAACAATAACAAAACTTCACTAAAAAAATACATGAATAGGCTTCAAGGAGTGAATTATTTCATTACTGTAGGTATAGAATTACTAATACAATGCTGTACAACATTAATGGGATTGTGAATCTTGTGGCGCCGCCGGTTAGTACCATAGCGCAGTTGCCAGATACAGTAACACTATTTTTCTGTACTTGTGCCCTGTAAAAAGTTTATTATGTCATTAGCTTCTGCCGACGGCTTCACCCGCGTTACCATGGAAAAAAGCAGCATAACATCACGCCTTTAATCCCCGAAGGGATAGGCAGCGGTGCACATTATGTCACTGTACAATGTAACACTCACTTTTTACTATTTATGTTATGAATCCCATGTAATAGGGGGTGAGTCTATTGCCATATAAACAATTCTAGACTCCGTGCTGCGATTGAGGATTTTTTAAAAACACTTTTAGTAATGCTTTGCCCGACACGGCAGTCACTTGCGACCACTCGGCCAACGAGGCAGTCGAGGGAAAACGTAGCTTATTTGTTATTCCAGTCCACAATCTGTCCCTGTTCCAAATTTCATCCCGATCCTTTCAGCTGTTTTGAGGTGATTGAGTAACAAACAAATATACCTACTTATTTATTTATTTATTTATTACACCCTGGAGGACTTACAGCTAAAACTACATAAAAATAGAAGCCAACATAAACTACTGAAAACCAATTACAAGTCCTCACGTATAGTGACAGACTTAAATTTGATAGGTGAGCATATCAAAATTTTCGTAGTGGTTGGTTCGCAGCTTATTAAAATTGTACAGTTTATTATACCAGTTAATTGCAAGGATCAACTAGAAACTAGTATTAACTAGAAACCTTTAGTTACAAGAATAAGTGAAAGATAAAAATAATATAAACATTTCCGAAAACTAGGGATACAATTCAGATGCTACTTAAAAAACCTGAGGCTTATGCGTCTTCTGACCGACACCACGCTAGTCGCAAATGGATCAAAGTCATACTGCTTACATATATTATTGAACTGTCTACCCGCTCGTATAATAAAACTATTCTGTCTGTAATTTGTTGATACTAACTAACAAACACATAAGCTCATTTACTTCATTTATTCTACCATTTCTTTTAGATATAAGTGTGCTATTTGACGCGAAAGTATGATGACGTCATAAGATGGTGTTTCGTACAAAATTATTGAATTTGACTAGTTGTCAACTACCTACCGTATTTTATCAGTTAGGCATGTTTTTGGGTTCATAATTATGAAATATAAATGAAATATCTCGATTCTTCTAAATGTGTTAAACTAATAGTTTCTTTCTATCGTTTTCCTGACTAGAGCAGATGATTTAACGCGTTACGTGTTCTGCACCAACTATGCAGTTCAACTCAAATTGTAATTTTAAATCATTATTTTATTAATAAATGTGCACACTTACTCTTTATTGAGTGCGCAGTCGACACCTGACGCAACCACGCGCAAGGTCTGTGGCACTCCGGCTACAGAGGTCAGGTCCAGGGTGGTGGAAGTAGACGCCAGGTTCAATACTGCCACGACCGTAGCGTCACTTGTACTTGTCGGGACCCTATTTAGAACAAAATAGTTGAGCATATTTAAGTATGGGAGAGCCATGCTTCCGCACGAATAGGCCGGCTGGACCGGAGTGATACCACGGTCTCACAGAAAACCGACGTGAAACAACGCCCTGCATTATGTTTCGTTGTGTCGGTGTGGTTACCGGAGGCCCAATTGCCCCCCTCCCCAATCTCCTAAATCTCTGAATCCCCCAAAAGTCGGTAACGCACTTTGTAACACTTGTGTTCCGGGTGTCCATAGGCGACGCCGATTAATTATCATCAGGTGATCTGTGCTCGTTTACCGGCTTATTCCATAAAAAAATATAGTGTTAGATAAGAGTAGGTACCTGGTAACGACCAGCACATCACTGGAGAGTGCATGTGTCCCCAAGGAACCGGAGGCGACCGCGGGGGTGTGTTTCAGGGCTACGACATCCTTGTAGAACTGTTGATTAAATTACAACATTATTTCTATAGTGCCAAGCAAGGTACATAAAATATCTACATCCACCTACATTCTTACATAAATATAGGTATCGTCGCACTTGTCTCCCGTCGGAGTATGAAGAGAGTAGAACGACAATATCTTATAATAAGTTCGTACATTTCATCATCATCAACAGCCTATAAATGCTCACTGCTGAGCAAAGCCTCTTCTCACGTGGAGAAGGATAAAGCATTAATCACCACGCTTGCTCAATGCGGGTTGGCGATCACAAACTTATAATTATAAATTATAAGTCCAGGTTTCCTTACGATGTTTCCCCCTTCACCATTTGTCAGTGGTCTCTAAATAATCTTAGAAAGTATATATAACTCGGAAAAAGTCACATTGGTACTTGCCATTGGTAGGTTTAAAACCCGCGCCCTCATGTATGAGAAGCGGGCGTCTTAAACCTCCGGGCCACCACGTATATTTAAGAAGGCGATAGTTTCGTGAGTCAGTTTTGGGACATGCATAAGCATGATTCATTCAGTCTTCAGTCATTTAGTAACAGAAGAGATTTTATTTATAGACTGAGTGACTTGCCTTGTAGTGACTCTTAGCGGCTGCCTTCTCGACGGCGACGTTGACAGTCTCGTAGTTGGCGGCGACGGGCAGCCAGGTGGAGTTGGCGGTGGAGAAGCCCGCGTTGGCGGACGCGTCCCAGTGGAAGGGAGTGCGCGCCGGGTCGCGGCTGCTCTTCCAGTAGTTGATGGGGTCCTCCGTGTTGCAGGCCTGCGGGTCCTTCGTGTCCACCCAACTGATGTTGCCATCTGTCATTCCAAGCTCCTCGCCCTAATAGTGGAACAAGTCGTTTAGTGTTTCGCTTTGATGGTGTATGATAGGAAAGCAATGTAAAGAGATTTCTTGACCAATGTTTTGCAAACAAAAATAAATCACAAAACAGTATCTATTTACACATTACATTTTTGTCAGATAAAAAAATATTTTTTAAGGCCTTGAAGATTTTATGGCTCATTAGTGCCAACTGATTTTTGTTTTTTTATGGCACAAGCCGGTAAACGAGCAGACGGATCACCTGATGGTAAGCAATCGGCGTCGCCCATGGACACCTGGAACACCAGAGGCGTTACAAGTGCGTTACTAGACTGTTGGGGATTAGGACTTTGAGGATCGTAATGATATAACGATGACGAATAAAGTTTATATTAATTGAAGACGTATAGAAGTGGTTTACCTGATACGTGATGGTGACTCCTGGTAGAATGAGGGCCAGCATGTTCATAGCGTCCACTCTCTTCACGCCGTGCTTTGAAGCCATTCGTGTGTTATCGTGGTTACCATTCTGCAAATGAAACATGGTTAATTATAAATACAATTCTGCCTTGTATTCCAATTTCACGTATTCAATACGTATTAATTTTAAGAGTTAGAACCATGATATAGAATATAGAATAGTTAGAATAATAATACAAGAATTCCACAAAATACTATGGGCGACTGGAAGAACCTAACTAGTGCGTTGACTGCACGGGTGGCGCGGTGCCTGGTCAACCGGCTGCGCACAACGTGTCGTGGATTCGATTCCCGCTCGGAACAACTCTTTGTGCGATCCACAAATTGTTGTTCCGGGTCTGGGTGTCATGTGTATGTGAACTTGTATGTTTGTAAACGCACCCACGACACAGGAGCAAATCCTAAGGTGGGGCAACGTTTTTTAAGAGCAGAAACTATGAATAAATACAAAATATTACAGTTTACTTTCCAGACAGAAACATTGCTTCGATAGGCAATACTGATACTGAAATAAAAAGTTGAAAAAATATCTCTATTTAGATTCTCTTTAACAAACTCTAGATAACCGCTATGTTAATCAAGAATCAGGAACATAATGTATGAACTATCGGTTACATTTGTGTTTATAGCGTACGTAAACTATGAAGGTAGCAAAACAGTGCCTTTAGCCAAACGCCACTTTAACGCTTGTCTACCGAGAGAGTAGAAAACTAAATGTATGGGGATGACACTGGCAAGTGTCAAAATTTACGTCAATTCCATATAATTTGGTTTTCTATTCTACATGTAGACAAGCGCTAAATGGCATTTGGCTACAGCCTCAGGTCTTAAGAGCCGCATACAATAACTTACCACCCAGTTAGCGATCTTTCCAGATGGCATATTCGACATCCACTTCTCAATAACAGTTTGCATATTGTTCGCCGTACTCTGTCCGTTAAGTTCCCCGAGGAAAATGAAGTTGAATGGTATAGATCCGTCTCGGGTCCCTTCCCCATAGTAGCGCATCATCAGGTCCATGTCCGTATAAGCTTCCGTCATCATGATCTTTGATTCGTTTTGGGCGAACTCGTTGAGAACATCTCTCCAGTCATAAACTACATAGTAAGTCTCGTTCAGATCCTTCGTGTATGGATGCAGGAGGTACCCATAGTCGTTAACGTCCGTAGTGGTATCTAAACATATAAAAATTGATATCAGATTATCTTCCTGAAGCTAATCAAATACTTTCGAGCATAGAAATGGATCCGCAAGGGCTTTTAGTTTCATGAAACCGCATGACTTTAAAAAAATATTCCTTTACAACGAAATTGTCTCATTTCAACAACATAACTTCACGCCTTTTATCCCCGAAGGGATAGGCAGAGGTGCACATTACGGCACTTAATGCCACTGTACTAACAATGTAACACCCACTTTTCCCTATTGTTATGTTACGAGTCCCATGTTATACCAGGCACATTTCCAGACTCCGTGCTACTAATGAGATTTTTTGAAAAATCCCAGTAATAGTTTGCCCGATCCGGGAATCGAACCCGAGACCCCTTGCCCGGCAGTCGCATCTGCGACTACTCGGCTAACGAGGCAGTCTCTCATTTCACAGGTAACTAAATTACCTTTTATAATATCGTGGAAACCAGTAATTGGCTTCTTGTTGCATACCACATTCTTTTTAATCAAATTGTATAGCTGTTGGTTTTCCAAATGTATAAATAAATAATACGTTACCAATTAATTAAATACGTGCATCAGAAAACATTTACCAAGAAATGAAAAAAAAAACAGACTCTTGTGGCATCGATTCTTTGCTCTTTAGTGTATAAATTAATGCTTAATTACTTGACAGAGGTTCGTTAGGATAAATGCCGCCGAAATCAGCCGGGTCCACTTCATACAGCATGTTGACCGCATCCACACGGAACCCTGACACTCCCTTCTCCAACCAGAAACGAAGCACGTCCTGTGAATCATGGCATAGTTTCTCATTTCCGTTGATTTATCCTAATTAAAGTTTTTTTGAAGGGACATAAATTATCAAATGACTGAGGAGTTTCAAACTCTTTCTGACTAAAAATTACGTTACTACTTCTGCTTTGAGTCTGAGCCCCCGGTCAGCTACAGCCGGTCGAGTTCCTAAGTCAAGTCCTAAAACTCAATCATTGACCAGTTTTACGCTGAAATACACAAACGCCACTAACATTTTATGTCGCGGTTAAGTATAGTTCTGCCACTCCAAAACTTATACTACCTCTATTATGTAAAGTGGAAGAGATTGTTTTTTTGTTTGTTTGAACGCGCTAATCTCCGTAACTACAAGTCTGAATTGAATAATTCTTTTTGTGTTACATAGCGCATTTATTGAGGATGGCTATAGGCTATAAAACATCACGCTACGACCAATAGGAGCTGAGCAGAGCGTGTGGAACCGCGCGGAAGTAGCTAGTTCTTTATAAAATAACAGAGATAGCACGATATTTACGTACAACTTGGCACGGTTGGCGCGGTGGCTGGGCAACCAGCTGCCGTGCAACGTGTCGCGGGTTCGATTCCCGCACGGAACAACACTTTGTATGATCCACAAATTGTTGTTTCAGGTCTAGGTGTCATGTGTATGTGCACTTGTATGTTTGTAAACACACCCACGACACAGGGGAAATTACTAATGTGGGTTAACGTTTTTATAATAATAATAATAAAAAAAACTTATTATTGGGTAGCCTTTCAATATTCGAGCGTCATCAACAATCTCTTCACTAACAACTCAGTTTACTTCTAAGTCTAACAGAAAATTATTTTCTTTACTTTTTATAATTTAAACTGTCAAACACCAAGCGGTCACCGGTGACCGCAACCTATTGTCCTATAATTGTGTCTGTATTGACGGTACTCGACGAGTTAAATTGTTATAAACGAGGTGTTTACACAACATACACAATAAGTGCGCCGATACGATCTCGGCGACACATCATAATGGCGACTTCCGTTGCCTGCTAAGGTACTAAGTCGATTTAAAATTTAATATCACATGTTTTCAGTATTCCGCGAAGTTGTAAGAAGAGGCGAACTTGTACAATCGTATGTCTACTTTTCATCATTCACATCATAAGCCTCATATAATAGGGGGTGATCTTCAATATAAGAAAATATTAAAAAATAATGACACTTTCATTAATTGATTTTATGACCAACTTAATTTTAGTATTTTTCCAGCAAATTTTCAAGAAATAAGTAGCTGTTTGACGCTAAAAAAACATGTCGGAACTTCATAATACACAATCTCGTACCTACAAATTCATAGGAAACTGTCGTTTCTGACAATTCGCAAAACGTATTGAATTTAACTAGTTGGTAAGTACCCAAAACTACAGGTTGTATACGTACGTACCTTCATCTCTTCGCGCAGTATTGGTGATCGATAGTTGATATCTGGCTGACCGATGACAAACTGATGCAGGTAGTACTGTCCTCGTTTAGCATTGTACTCCCACGCACTGTTTCGGAATACACTGATCTGAAAGGAATTCACTTTAAAATATAAATAACTTTAGTTATGAGAACTTAAAGACGAGAGAGAAGACTTAAAGACAATAAGCTAAAATAAACCAGGCAATACAAAGTGCTAAGTTTATGAATGCTTTATTGGGATACACATGTCATTCGTCCTCAACATTTCAAGTATGATATGGCTCGGTATGCAAGTCAATATCGTGATGTTGGTCAAACGTTAAAATCCATTAAAATCCAATGCGACATAAGCATATTAAGAACATACTGTGTAGGGTGATCAAAATAAACAGAGGGCTTACTACAAGTTTGTTTTACGTTATAAGTAATCGAAACCAGTCCTGCCAGGAATCACCATTACGTATCAGGTGCTGCTTCAAATATGTATTGGGGTGTTTCTCCAAAAAGCTTTAACATATTTATTATACAAATCACCATCCTCTCAGAGGGCTTCGTACGAGTACGCGTTCGTCGCTCTCATTGGCCGGCTCCAATGAACCAGGGCGCGGTCTCGTTTTGATTACTTTCAATGTAAATCAAACTGGTACTAAGCCTCAAGGCCTCAAGAGTGCTGAATACGAGTTATCGAAACGTTACCGCGTTTAGTTTTCTATTTGTTGGTTAACTTGGAACAGCCAATCAGAGCGTCGAACGTCACAAATGCTCGCTTTACCGTAAAATAAACTTGCACTAAGTACTTCTACGATATCATTGGGGGATTATCAAAGAAATAGGCATTTTCCGCTTTTCATTTCTCTCCCTTTATTTTCTTGGAACAACAAATAATAAAGTGTTAGGCAATCAAGCCACTTGATAACATTTATTGCTGATGACGTGATGACATCATTAACATTGTCTTTCAAGAGCCGATGATTACGATACGATGGACATTACACAGTCCTTCTTGTAGCACTTGAAACTCCTTATAGATAAAAGCTATTTCCCTTTATCAAAGCTAAGAAAAAATATTTATCCAGTTACAAAATCTTATTTTATTCCCCACAAAATGTCACAACGTGTGTGAAATCCGAAAGAATAAAAAAAAAATATTGATATTTAATCGTAAACGAATTTATTGTTGAGAAAATTAAGAAGAATTTGGTACAAGTTAGTACCTATAACATTTCCTTACCCAGTTGCTAGGCGGGTTGAGAATGCTAGCGTTCGCTTCGTCAGGTATGCCGTCCGCCCAGATGTAGTAATCAGTGTAGTTGCCTATTTTGTCTATGGAGTTTGTGAACCATACGCTCTCGTTACTTGTGTGGTTGGGCACGTAGTCCAACACCACACGGACACCTAGATGAGAATAAATTACCATATTTATGTTTTACTTACATCGTTGCATTTCGAGAACGCCCGACAAGATTCTAGTTTGATCGGGGTCGGTAATCTCGAAAAATCTCAAAAGGCAGTACTTTTACATATTTCACTTTTTAAGGCAAAAGGGAATTAATGAAAAATTAAGGAATAAAAGTAGTTCTAAATAAGTAGGTACCAGGTACCTGTTATAAAACTTACCGAGTCTTTTAGCTTCCACCATGAGAGCATCGAAGTCATCCATAGTGCCGTACTCAGTCGCTATGGACTTATAGTCAGCGATGTCGTACCCAAAGTCGTACATAGGAGACTTGTAGATAGGAGACAACCAGATTGCATCCACACCCAGCTCTTGTAAGTACGGCAGCTTTTGTTTTATACCTGATAAGACACATCACTATTAATTGGATGGCTGCTGGCTGCTGAACAAAGTCAAAGTCAAAGTCAAAATCATTTATTTCAATTAGGCCAGAATGGCACTTTTGAACGTCTACAAAAAAAAGTGAAGCTATTTGCTCATTCCAAGGTGTAGATTCCTATGAAGAGAACGAGCAAGAAACTCCGTAGGTTACTCTTTTTCAATCAGGTTCACAATACAATTTACTAGTTATATAGTTTTGCTGTTTGGTTACAAAGGTTTGCTAATAATTCTCTGACGTTTGGGCATTGCAGTTAGTCTAAGGAAATTTGGATAATGGTTTTGACTTCATAAATATTAACACCCAATTTTTTTAGTTTTCAATTTCAGCAATCACGGACAAGACTACTGCCACTACACCGGCTACTACAATCCAATTATTGCGAACCCAAAACGGGAGATCTTTTACTAATCGACTACAAAAGGCCGACTATACATAAAATGAAGCTCTAAATAACATAACATAACATCACGCCTTTTATCCCCGCAGGGGTAGGCAGAGGTGCACATTATGCCACTGTACAATGTAACACCCACTTTTCACTATTTACCTATGTTACGAGTCCCATGTAATAGGGGTGAGCCTATTGCCATATACCGGGCACAATTCCAGACTCCGTGCTACTACTAAGCATTTTTTAAAAACCCAGTAATACTTTGCCCGACCCGGGAATCGAACAAGAGACCCCTTGTCTGCAGTCGCACTTATGACCACTCGGCCAACGAGGCAGCTCTAAATCTATTAACATAATGTTCAATTTACCATTTAAGTCCCCGATGCCGTCGGCGTTGCTGTCCATGAAGGAGCGTGGGTAGATTTGGTACACAACGGCGGAGTTGAACCACATGTCCACGCAGGACACGCTCACTGCCGCCGCAGCTAACACTAACAGCGCTAGCACCCGCATTTTCAGTTACTGTATAAAAAGTACACAAATGTATTGTGTATAGTAACGTAGCTCTTTAAAACATATTCAATTAAAGGATATGTGTATGTCGATACAAAGCAGAGTCTAGATAGAAACTTTTGACTATAAATTCAAGGGACGATTAAACTACTTTGTTTTAGTCTACATGTCAAAATATCACATCCCTATTTCCTCAATATCTGGTAGTTATTTATTTGAATAGAACGGTACAAATACCAATTACACTACTCAATATCTGATATATTTAATTGATATCTGATGACATGAGCACTTAATGGTGTATAACCATGAAGGACAAGCTCTATGGAAAACACATTCAAATACCATCACTGCTATAACATACCAAACAAAATTGCACCACATTTAAATGCTATAAACCAGAAAACTACTAAACAAATTTTCATAAAGAGTCGTTAATGAGGAATATTTTACTAAGATTTTGTTTGATGAGGAAGAAGTAGAATAAGATAATATGCTTACGCTTTTTTCCGTGTACAAAGACTATGTGCACTAATTATGTATTTAAAAAAATAAATACCGACCTTATAACGCTGCAGCACCATAAATGAGTGTGGTTATTCCATTCCGGTCCTTATATGCAGTAAGATTCAAGTGGCCGGTATAACGAGCACTCGAAATTGTTTGTATATTGTATCGCTATCATCAAGTTTTAATACCTAATAAGATTTCTTCAGGCACTTCAGATCTAGGTTCCATAATGTGGAAGCTAAGCCTTGAACTGAAATTTAGTTACAGGATTTTTTTACAATTAAAACACCAACGCCATCTTCATGGTATTATACAAGTATTCGACAAACTTATGTTTGCATAAATTAAGTTTTATTCAAGGCCTGGTACATAGCGGCTATCCAGACATTTTGAAACAGGCCCTAACAAAATGAACGTATTTATTTATATACGAGTTGTGCTGCCGTGGTCGACACGTCGAGTCACAAATTGCGATATTTCTCATGTGACTACTTATCTTTAATACAGCTATTTTCTCGTTTTTAATTATATGTATACAAGACGTAAGAATTTAAATTACCTAGAAGTAAGCTTGTAATTCTACGTGGTACCTAATTTTAGTTACTTCAGTTTTTTTTATTATGGGATAAGCCGGTAAACGCGCAGACGGATTACCTGATGGCAAGCAATTGTCGCCGCCCATGTACACCTGAAACACCAGAGGCGTTACCGGCCTTTGGGAATTTGTGGATTGTGGGGGATTCGGGGATTGGGGAGACTGGGGAGGGGGTCATTGAGCCACCGATAACCTCACTCACACGAGGGAACCAACGCAAGCGTTGTTTCACGTCGGTTTTCTGTGACGCCGTGATATCTCCGGTCGAGCCTGCCTATTCGTGCTGAAGCATGGCTCTCCCGCACTCGCTCAACTCAGATGTGTCAGGTTTAAATGTATGTCTATCTATACACATAAATAAAAATACTTGTTTCAACGCGCTGATCTCCGGAACTACAAATTGAATCATGTAGAATAAATACAACCAATAGAAACCGACCAGCGACTGATACCGCGCGGGAGTACAGTCTTTAATCTATAGTATATAATATGATATATGTTGCACTGTCCTGTCCATCGCAGTAACTTTACTCATTCTTCTTTCTTCATTCAAGTCATTTCTCTCTGGAACACGCTTCCAACGAATGTCAGAACCGCAACCAGTCGTCTGAGTTTCAAGCGGAGGGCGCGTGAGTACATTAGCGGAAAGCTGGCAGTTTCATAACATCTTTCATAATTTTTCATCTTGTTGTAACATAGGACAAATTCATATACGAGTCACAAATATATTTATATGTATAATGATATTTATATTATATATAATTTTATATATCTATACGATTATATTTACGTATTTTATGTATGCTTTTGATACCCTTTTATTAATTTGGATAATTACCACTATTTCTCATAACAGTTTTGCAGCTTACCACCTACCACATACATTTCTGCACTACCCAAAGGATGACTGGCAGAGAATGCTGTTAGCATTAAGTCCTCCTTATGCAATTGTATAAAACTTAAATAAATAAATAAATATAAAAATGAATCCCTTGCATGCAAAAATGAATCAATGCATCACGCGTGAATGGCTGGAGCGATTTCACCAATTCTTTTTTTGTTGTATTTGTTATGTTTAGGAGAAGGTTCTTATGACTTATAAAAAAATCCTGAAAATCCTACGGGAAAGGGAGAAGTCTAGGCAATAAAAATCAAATTCGGATTTGCAACTTTCACTTTAATGGATCATAATATTGATTTTATATATAAAAATAAGGTCAAATTGAATAAAAAGTATGTCAAATGAACACAATTTTAAAAATAAACACAGAAGTATTGAATAAGTAACTAGTAAGAATGTCATTTCAAGTAATCCATTACTGAATAAAATACAACAAATATACACGCTGACATTTTAATGGTTGTTTTCCCGCAGCAGAACGATTTCCCTTTAGTAGTACTATCGAATAATGCAAGTTACTTTTTGAAAAAATATTTTTTTTTCTCTCCTCATCTACTCAAAAAAATAATCATCAACTCGAAAGCATGAGAAACGATAGTTTCTCTTCTAAAATGTGACGTCAATTCAATGTTCATAGTAAAATAATCTCTCGGACTAAGTAATACAGCATAAACTGCAATGCACACGCGCGCGAGCGGATCGCCTCACGACAAACAACAAAGGCAACCACCGCGCTCTCTGTCACTCGCATCGGCCCGCATCGCCTCGCATCGCTTTCATTCACACCAGTCGCACCGCGAACGCCGTCCGCGCAACCACGCAAGCGCAGTACAATATTATTGCCGCCAAAATGGATCGAAACTCGCGACGCGTTAAAAAGTGCGATAGTGGACGCTTTTGATGTGATTAGACGTGACAGAGACACATTATTAAAATTGAAAGCTAATCAGTTAAAACGTGCACGATTGTGTGTGGAACGCGGTGGCTTACACTTTGAACAATTGTTCCGTTACCGAGTGTAAGTACTTGTACATTTGTAAATAAAACAATAAGTTATGTGATTAAAATCATTGTAAATACGTTGATTCCCATTTTTTAAATACGCCTTTCCCAAATTCAGTAATAAACAAGATCTCTTGATTAAATTTTGTTTATGTTTGTGTTTAGTAAGTGTAGTTGAAAAGTATTTACGACGGTCCTAAGCCCGTTAAAGTATGAAGGGAAAATGGAAATCACTTGTTAGTAAATACTGAGTTATCAGCCTTTTGATAAGCGCGAGCGACAATGACAGCGGCCGGTGGCCGTTCGCGGCGGTACTATTGGTTCGCGGTTTCTTTCAAGTTTCGTTTATCACTATCGTAAAACTGCAATTTTTTTATTTAAATTAAAAACAACTTTCTCAATCTATTGTACTACTAAAATAGAATCATTTTACTGTGGGAAAACAACCATTAAAATATCACGGTGTATTTACTGGCTAATCTCTGAAATGTCTGGTCTAACTTTGACGCGACTTTAATTGGCAGGTAGTGGTGGCCGGTCGCGGCGGTACTATTGGTTCGCGGTTTCTTTCAAGTTTCGTTTATCACTATCGTAAAACTGCAATTTTTTTATTTAAATTAAAAACAACTTTCTCAATCTATTGTACTACTAAAATAGAATCATTTTACTGTGGGAAAACAACCATTAAAATATCACGGTGTATATGAGTACGTTGCACATAACAACAAAATAATATCATCCGTCTTTGCCCATTGCTGAGAGATTTTCAATCTTATTATTTTTGCATTAGTGTAGTTATTGCAATTATACTAAATGCATTTTAGCTATACTATATATCATATTTCATATTTCGTATTCAAAATTCAGTAATGGATTTTAACAATAAAAATAAAGGACTCCCATCGACTCAAACAAGGCCTTCAGCCATGTGATTTCAAAAATGGACCTTAAGTTGTAAGATATACGTTATATTTTAAATTAAACGTGTATTATGCTCATTTAAAACTAGAACACTTGAATCTTTGGTGATACATTTTGTACGATAATTGATAACAAATTATTTGTCCAACCGAATGCAGTCGCCGAAACATGATGTAGGTAAAATTATAATTTAACTTTTATTGAAACTTGAAATATTTATTGAAACTCAACTTTATATACACAAACGAAGAGTTCAGAAATATAGAATATCATACAAAATGTATCTGAAATCAATCAAAATCAGTTTATTATTTAGAGACAAATGAAAAAATAACATTTGATACTATAACAATAAATTTTATCATAGTCAATTCATACAAAAATGAACTCTAACCAGTATAAACAATTATGAAACCAACACAACATGGAATAGAGTTCAAAATTGCTTGAATAGACTGGAAACATAGTTTATATTTCTTTATTTTATAGTTTACATTTATGGAGTATTTATGCATAACAATTATTACGAGGCTATTTCGCAACTACAATTTAAAAGGTACGGGTTTAGGGAAATGTTTTATAGACGAGAAAAATAGATTCATTTATAATTGTCTAAGTACTTTGTACTATTAAAGTCTACACGTGGAAGTTGAACTTAGATTTTGGTTAATTGAGGAAGGCAGGGTTCCAATTAATACCAGCACCATTCGTTTCTTTAAACAAATATATTACCACAATAGCGAGCAACGCTATTGTAAACAGGATAACAGGGTATGAAAATGAAAAATCTAAGTCCGTCAGTCAGGTGATGAAAAAATATTAGACACGTATTTTTTAATTTTTCCATAATGAATTCAAGTTTGGAAGTGGGAGCTAAAACGTCATTTCTACGTACAAAACGCACCTAGAAGTGACGTCACGCGATATTTCAAATCAAAATATCGTCGAAAGTATTTGTTTAGGAAAGAAACAAACGGGTCTCATGTTTTAAAATAATCTACCAGACGGATATTAAAATAAAAAATATTGCATTGGTTTTACGGGTGTCCATAATATAGGACACTCGCAACATCACCTAGACGATGGTCCGCAACACACTAATAATTACAATAGTGTTGCGAGTATTAGGGATTGCTTACGCTTATCATCAGGTGATCTATTACCGTTTGTCACCCTATTCCATAAAAAAGAAATAAATATGGTCAATGGAAATTGATCTCAATAGAGACTAGAGAACCAAGGAGGATTTATTACTATAGTGAAGGTATCAACTGATACCTGATTCAAGATCAGATGGCCATGTGACATGACTGGAGAGAGGTCGCGCACACGACCGACATCTTTGAATTTCGAACCACCAAGATTAAAATATTTGCCTAACATAGACAATGGGCACGCGACTTTATAATCCACCTAATACAAGGCAGTAACGACTCAAAATGCGTAAAAACCGATAGTAATAAAAAAACATTGTTTTCTCAACATGCAATTAAGTACAGAGTTGTTTCACCTCGAGATTACAATAATAACACACCACGTTAACTCGTCAAGTCATCTCATTCATCAACAAAGGCTTTAAATTGTGAATACATTAAATAATGTATATTTATCTTCACACTATGTTACTTCGGTTGAGAACGCGAGATTATGACGTATTTTAATACGTGTTAAATATGTTGTTGCTTAAACAAATAATAATAGTAATTGGATAAGTAATTTGCACAAAATTAGTCATACTAAGGCGCCCTTTCACTGCCTTCAGTTAAGTTCTGTTCAGTTAGTCCAACTGCCAGTTAAACGTACGTATCTCTCATATAAATTTTAGTTAATCAAGCTGAAAGAAACTTAACCGCAGTTTACTTACTGAAGCGTAGACCTAAGTGAGATAGAATACATCTTCTATCCTGTCTTAAGGCGGCAGTAAAGAATCGGCTCTAGCAAAACAGGCTTTAAGATTCAAATTAAATTAACACATCTGCCTTCCTCATGAAAAATAAAAGGAAGTAAACAGGTGAGTGTAGAAAAATATTCTCTCTGTACTTGAGTGAAAAGAAAATAATTCAATTGTTAACGTCTATGACGCGGGAGAACCTTACATAATAAGGTGATTTGAGGAACTATGTAACTTGCCGATCTGTTATCCAGCTAAGTTATTTAGTATGTAGCTTAGAAAACAATGATTGATTCAGTACAATATTGATATAGACCATTGCTTGGCTACTGAACCAAGCAATGGATACAAAAGATCTGGCTTTTGTTAAAACATGCAATTATGTGTAACATTACTGTGTCTGTTCTGGTCTCTGGATCAATCTTTGATTTCTTAGGTGTATACTAAATGACTTGGCCGACTATCCGTTTAACATTTCAATATTTATCCCAATTTGCGCCACAAATCTCACTCACATTTAATGATAACTCTCGAAAAGATAATACTTTAGTCCGGTATCAACCAGAACGTATACTCTCAACTTTATTTTATTACATTTAAACAAATTGATCACACTCATTCATTACAGATTCTTAAAACTTCATAATATTTACAAAATTTACAAGATTTCATTATTTAATCCAGGCATGTACCAAACTTTTATTTCTCACCTCGGAAATTTGCTTTTCCTATTTTTTTCTTTCCTTTTCAATCGTAAGCTCAGTTCAAAGTCAAACTTATAAATAGATTGAGCTCAGTCTTAGTGCAGGCTTCAATGTTCAATTAATAAAATACAATTTATAATATAAAAACTAAATTATTATCAAATAAATCACTCCAGATTTCTGAAAGGGATCCATGTCACTCTAAAATTGTGCTTAAGCTTCCGTATTAGAACCTTATTTCCAAATATCAACATGAATTTCACATTATATCCTTACACAATATATTCCCTAAAATCCATAATACAAGTATGTATTTGTTCCAAGTGCGAATGACTGCATACAACGCACGTTTGGGTCGACTGAATTCCAGTCTAGTGCAATATTAAAAGTGAACCGATAAGTTTCTTAAAATCGATTTAACTTCATGAGATTTCATTTGAAATCAATTTTATTTCTAAGACTTAATATTTTAATAAATATTAAATTCTCATTGATCAACCTTTCAGAAACTAGGAGTAAATAGACAAGGTCACATCTCTCTTGAAGGTCTTAAGTTCCCATTTGATATGTCAATAGGTACAATTTGATACCTAAACTTAAATAATAAGAATTAATATTTAGGAACACTGCCTACACTATGAGCAGAGGTCACAATCGGAGATAGGGTGGTGACTTACCCACTTGTATACTTCAGATTTTATTTACTTATACCTAATGAATATAAATCTATGTCACTACAACAATAATAATCTATACATCGAAAACTATATATTCCCCTAGACAATGACATTTAAACACATAATTGCTGCCATTTTTATATGTCATGGGCGTTTGACCACTCTCTCGACTAGTGGTAAACGATGATACGGCATACGATGGAGCACGACTAACAACCTATTCACTCGGGCCTTGAAGATTCCCAGGTTAAAACAGATACCCTTTGGGAAACACACGCTCTAACAAATTAAAGGTCGATTGCGTTTATACAAAAATAGTCTCTAAACATCGGAAATAAGGTCTACAATGGATTTGGTAGTAGGAACAGCAAAAATACTATTTCTACTTTTGAAGTTTCAACAATTAATGCAGTTGAAACGTCTAGAATGGTGGTAAGTCAACACCCTATATAATCTGTATTATAACTAAAATAAATTTAATCTATTTGGAAAGGCAGGTTGGCTGCTATTCTTGACTTTTTCTTCTTCTTTGTTGGTTTCGCAGTTTGGCCCTGGTTCTGTTGATTTATCTGTTTATAATGTTTAAAAAGAATTTTTAAAAACAACTTTTTCACCCTTTTTATTTTGTCATGTTCTTTATTTAAATACTTGGTGGTGGTTACCAGTGTCAAGGTACTGAGTTTAGTTGATTTCTCTTAATTTAGCACCAATTTCTTAATATCTTATTATATAATCTGTAGTGAAGATTTCATAATCATTTTGCATAACAAAACCACTTCATACTACTTATTTAGAACGTATATAAAAGAATAAATAAATAAGAGAAGGATAGTGGTATAAAACTTACCGGTGCAGTCGTGGGCTGTGGCTTGGGTAATGTCGACTTCTGTGACGACGACTGACCCAAATCCTGCTTACTTGACGAGCCACCGGGGTGGGAGACACGCCTGTTGGATAAATAACATTAAATACTATTTCACACACTAAGGGGTCGCACTAGGAGAATATAAGCTGAAATCATAAGATAGATTCTGGAAGACGTCTAGGTGTGGGACTGTTAACCAATGTAGACTCATAAGACTAGACGTATGAACGTGTTGGAAGCTAAAGAAGTAGGCAAGTATTGCTGTACCCTGTTTCCTTCCACGACTTGAAGAAGGTATGTGTGTACAGAATACTGTGACTAGTGTACTACTGGTAACTTTTTTATAGGTAACAGGTAAGCGTTTGGCGTGTATCTCGCCTGATGCTGAAAGACCTGCTGATTGCCCATCACGACCTTACGAGTTAGTCGCTACCAAAAGAGAGAAAGTCTACATCATTATTAGCTACTTCAAAGGTGCAAGCAAGGTACAAGTTGACTTTGCCGCTTGACGTAGCAACTCTTAGTGTGATCCACAAATTGTTTTTTCGAGTCTGTAAACGAACCCACGACACAGGAGAAACTCTTAGTGTGAGGTAACGTTTTTATACAATAAAAAGTTTCCAATAAATCACCTGATCAATAACTACTCTCACGTGACTTTCAGTAACTTGCATAACAATGAAATTGTTGAAAGATATGGAAATTAACAGAACCTTGTTGGGATTTGTTCGTAAAGACGTAGTCGCCTTCGAGAGATACTGGCTACTTGATTGGAGTGGCGCTACCATGAATATGTCGTGGCCTTCTTATTCTATTTGTTTCTATGGGCTATTATATATTTAATGCTGCCATTAAAGCGACTTCTGGTTGTGAATTACTCCAATTAACTATCAAGTTTGAGCATACAAAAATGTATTTAATTATTTGATTTATAAGTTCTATCGCCAGGATAAGTATAGTTCAATGTTAGCTTGCACTGAAAGGTTAAATAAATGGGGAAACGAGTATGTCAGTGACCTATAAACTATGTATACTATATGAATATATGTCTGTGTACGTATGTTGCTTTATTTTGTGAGAATAAGAGTATGCAAAAACTAAAGCAAAATTACCCTCGCTGCATCGACCTTCAATACCTATGTAACGCATATAAAAACAATAGCATTATTGATTTTCATATTACTTTAGATAGCATATCTAGTCAATACACACTGGAGATACATACATCTACATATATTAGAGGATTACTCTACGGAAGTGTTTGTGAGTAAGCACTCATAGTGAGTGTAACAATACAGGTATTTTACAACAATACAGAGACAATCACGTTTACGTGATAGTGAATGATTCAATGTTTAAATTATTTTAATGAGTTTCAAGTGTTTTTTTAGTATGATGGTGACAATTGTCATGTAGTCATACTCATTAATGATTGTTGGAGAGGCCTATTAGTCCGTAAGACATGCACTCATTTTTGTGTGTTATTTCTTCTCCGTCGATAATTGACCAACCCGCCGTATGTACCGCAGCTGACATTCATAAGGCTTCATAATACAACGCTATGAAGTATTCTATAAATTATCAACTGGGAGGAAATTGGTCTTAAAAATCTGTCGCTGGCTTATAGGCTATATGTCCAGAAGTGGACGGAAACGAGCCAATGTTGACGATGAACGGTCAGTTTCATAAGTTACTTCTATCTTTTACTAACTAAAAGAGTCAATAATAAATTTGTTGGTAGATTTGGCTATTTGAAGTGGAATTTTTAACACATTTTGATATTAATCAGAAGGTGTCAATGGAGGAAAGAATATCCACAGATTGTGGACACAGACCGTCATTGTCAAAATAAATCCTATAAGTAAAAGTATATAAAAACTGTCTCGTTGACCGAGTTGACGCAAGTGCGACTGCCGGCAACTATCATGGTATTACTGTTTTTTTTAATTGTCAGTAGTAGCACGGAGCTTGAAATTGTGCCCGGTATATGGCAATAAGCACATCCCCTATTACATGGGACACATATCATAAATAGTGTAATAGTGTGTGTTACATTTTACAGTGGCATTAACTGTTGTAATGTGTACCTCTGCCTACATCTTCGGGAATAAAAGGCGTGATGTTATGTAAGTTTACGTAATAACTTACTGTAGTGTAAATATTTATATTTTCGTATCAATAAAGTTTTTAACTTACCTGGTTTGTACTTGTAATGGTACGAATGGATTGCTGACTTTGTCGTTGCTGGTTTGTGGGGGAGGTCTGTTAGCGTTAGGCGACCTCGGGTTCTGTAACAAACGAATGAAGTTAGATTAAAATATAGACACTGGCTTTTTACTACGTGAAAATATAAGGAATTTTCTTCAATTCTTCACCTAAATAGGTGACTTGATTACGCACAGCTAATTTAAACCGTTTTGTTTAAACTGCAACTCAAGAATACAAAATTTTACAATACCAATGTCGATCGATCGGAATTGGATTAAAGAGTAAGCCCCCAGGTAAGTACAAATAGGTACAGTAGCCCCCAGTACCAAAGGCACCAAATTTGCGCATTGCCCTTGAAAAGTAAAGAGTATCCAAAGTTGAAGTTACACCTGTCTACCTTTTATTAATTAGCATGATCATATTACGGTGCGTGAATCTTTATCACGTTAAGTACAACAATGGAATTCATAAGATAATACCACTTGCGATATCAACACTGTATTGTTAACGAACCTCTATATCGAGGGAGAAATATGAAGATATGTATTAGCATACTAGTAAGTAAACCTTTTTGGACGGAATCTAAATGAATCAAAAAGAATTAAATTTTAAAAATAATCATTGCACAATAATTTTGTCCTGTGTCGTTGGTGCGTTCACAAATACACAATATCTAAACACATAACATCCTGACCCGGAACAACAATCTGTGGATAATACAAAGAGTTGTTCCGTGGGGGACTCGAACCCGTGGCAGCCGGTTGTCTGGTCACCGCACCGACCGTGTAGTCTTTAGTATGATATTGTACTTTAGTAAAACCTCAACTACGTGTTTCGTTCGTTAAATAAGTCACCCGACAAGCTTCTTGACTCGTCCAACGAGACAATACCTTTTGATTAACTACACATCAACAGCCCATATAGTCTAAAGTTGAACCGAGCTTTCTCTACATGGGTGGGATTGTTAAATACATATGTTAATCGGCTCTTAGGAAACCCAGGGGAAGGGTAGAGGTGATAACAAATCTTATATTCTAATTAACTCGTCGAGTACCGTCATTATAGACACAATTATAGAACAATAGGTCGCGGTCACCGGTGATCGCTTGGTGTTTGACAGTTTAATATAATATAGTATAATTATGTATTGTTAGTATAATTATTATGCAGATCGCTTCCAACCGGCCTATCTGGAAGTCATTGGGGGATGCCTATGTTCAGCAGTGAACGTCCTGTGGCTGATATGATGATGAGTATAATTATAATATAAAGCTGAAGAGTTTGTTTGTTTGATCGCGGTAATCTCCGAAACTACTGGTCCGATTGGAAAAGATATTTTTGTGTTGGATAGCCCATTTATCGAGGAAGATTATTGGCTATAAAATATCATGCTACGATTAATAGGCGCCGAGCAGAGCGAGTGAAACCGCGCGGAAGTAACTAGTTATACTATAAAGCTGAAGAGTTTGTTTGTTTGAACGCGGTAATCTCAGAAAGTACTGGTACGATTTGAATAAATATTTTTGTGTTGGATACCACGTTTATCTAGGAAAGCTATAGGGCTAGGCTATAAAACATCACGTTACGATTAATAGGCGCAGAGCAGAGCGGGTGAAATCGCGCGCGAGTAGCTAAAATTTTTTATACCGCAGTCATCATACGTCCAGTAGATAATCCATTATATCAACGAGTTCACGTCTCAATTACAAAAGTATTGATTTTCCTCATTAGCAGAGTGATTGTTACACACACAGGTAAGTATGCGTCACGTACACTTCAGTTGCAAACATCCCCCGTTCCAATTGTCTATCGTTGCTCGATATGTTATTGTATAAACTATATGTACTTGATTACTTGTACTCTAAATAGATAAGTAACTAACTCCATGATAGAAGTCAAGTTTTCGTAGAAATAGACGTTCAATGTATTAAAATCAATTAGAGGGAATTCATCTTAATTAAAATTGGAATGCGTCTGAATACTTATTCCTTTTATGTCTAATGTTTGTAAATCAAATTGATCGTAATCTGTTTATTGATTCTTGGCGACTTGGACATTCTCACTTTTCAGTAGGTAGGTCACAAATTGACTAATATGGTAATAGACAATATTATACAGTACTTTATATAGTTTTTGTACAATTTGTACGCATGACTACATAGTTCAAGAGCCAGGGAAATCACCTATCATTGGGTAATACTTAATACAAAGAGAATTAAAGATAAATTCACTACAAAATCAATAAATATAAATTACAATAATTACCTGTGTATTAGGTGGATTAGTAGGTTGGTGCCAACTTGGTCCCAACGTGATGTTGGGTCCAACAGCGCTAATGCTGGGCAAATGTTTGGGGAAGTTCTGTGGTGGATCCAAATTCCGGTTCTGTGGTTGTTGATCGAAATTTCTGTTATGGATTGGTTCCAAATTCCTGATGTTAGTTGGTTCCAAACTCCTGTTCTGTGATTGTTCGAAGCCCCTGTTCTGTGTGGGTTCGAAGCTCCTATTGTGGGATCCTTGGTTCCGTGGCATGTTGTATTGTTGGTTGCGTTGGAAGTGGGGGTTCTGGAACTGGGGGAACGGGATCTGGTTCGGAACTGGGTAGGGTTGGCCGAAGGTTGGAAACGGCGGGAAGGAGGGAACGGCCTGGTTCTGTTGGAATTAAAATTTGGATTAGATATATTGGATTAAAAAAACATGCCCCTCACGTGTCCGTTTATAAACATACAAGTTCACATATACATGATGAAATATGTGTTATTGCTGTTATTTGAACATAATATAATAAAAGGGAAAGTTGTCCAATATGAACATATGACAAATTGTGTGAAGTTTTAAAATAGGTACTATTCGAGTCTATAATGACGTCTGGCGGTTAGCAATAACCTCGCCCCGACCACTGGTCTCCAAATTGGGGAATAAGTATGCGACACACTGTTCAATTTCATTTTTTAATCACTTTATATTTTATGTAAATTGCAATATAAACATTAATGTTTACGTTATGTCAGGTAGTATAGTAACCTTGTAGTTAGAGAAGACAGGTGGCTGTCGGTTGTTGTTGCCGAGCGATGCGTTCTCTTTGCGCCAGTTCTGAGGCGGCGGCGGACCCCTGGTGATTATAATATTATGTTTAAAGTATATCCAAACTTTAGCTTATTATATACTAAAGCTGAATTTATTTTACAGTAAGTTCTTATAGACATTAATTTATGAACGACATAAAGGACTCTCTTACCCAGAAAATAAACTCCAAAACACAGGAGGAGTGCTTGCGTAAAAATAAACAACATATCAAACATAATAAATAATAGATTAACATTCATTCATATCATATTCGCAATCCAAAATCTTTGGAGGAGACAAGTTTGAGGGGGGAGATCATCATCTAATGACTTCTCCTGACTTGGCTGTGGGAGTGTCCGACTCTTACCCATCAAAAACATCCCGATCCTATTCCTGCTTCGAGACGGAGCTCCGGTAACTCGTTAAAGCGTCCGCGAAATCATTAGATTGTATTTTTATAATAACTATCGTGAGATATACTAAATTAACTAAAATAGTAGAACTTTTCTCAGCATTTTCATGTGAGTAACCGGCGATTTTTGGATTGATATCGATGACCTTTGGATTGTGATAGAATTTCGACAGGTTTCTGTTGAATTTTTCTCAAAATTTTTAATTTTTATTTTGTATCGATATCGATGATTCATAACCATGCCAGTATTGTCAGTTTAAAAACCTTACCTCTGTTGAGGATAGACAGCAGTCGACTGTGTATTGTCGTTCTTCGCTCGCCAGTTGCGAGTATTTTCAGATGTCGGAGTTTCCTACGCAGAAAATCAAAGTTTAGCTTTTACATTGCTAATCCAACAAACAATTGGAAAAGATTATATACATATTATTTACATTTCTTGGACTTTAGATAATAGTTTTCTGTGTAGGTAAAGACAGAAATCTTGATAAGTAATATACAGTTAAACCTTCATCAAGAATTACCCTATTAATTGGCGAAAACAGTATAAAAAATCTGCTCAGTAGTTTCTGAACTGAGGAAATATCGGCGAGAAAACATGTTTTATAACGTGTAAAAAATTTTTATTAGAAGGGAACTTTACCTTGCTCTTCTTAACTTCAGGATCCTCGCTGATTTTCAGAAGACTTTTCAGTAAATCTGTCGCGCTATTCTGTTGGGGATATTACATCATTTTTAGAATAATAGCAATATAAAATAGTACTTATATTATCAAAGAGATGGTATCTATATACAAATTGAAGCCGAGAGGACATCAGTGTCCTCGATATTTATTATTGACCTTATTTCCAATGTTCAAAGACTAATTTTGTATGACTTAACTAGACTTAAACATGCTTCAGCACGAATGGGCCGGCTCGACCGGAGTGATACCACGGCCTCACAGAAAACCGACGTGAAGCAACGCTTGCGTTGTGTTTCGTCATGTGAGTGAGTTTACCGGAGGCCCAATTACGGTCCCCTTCCCCAATCTCCCCAATCCCTGAATCCCCAACGATCCTCAAACTCCTAATCCCCAAAAGGCCGGTAACGCACTTGTAAGGCCTCTGGTGTTCCAGATGTCAGCTCGTTTAATGGCTTATGCCATTAAAAAAGGTTAAGTATGATTTATCTAATTTTAGTAGACTATAGTTCTTTTTTTTGTGAATGAAACACAATAAATACATGAGACAATGAATGAAATGAAGGTTCAATTAGTAATGTAATGTAATGAGTGACGTACCCGCCCGGGTGATCCGTTGCTCGCAACAGAAGCGTTGTGGTTGCGGCCGTCCGGCGACACTGCCTTGTCTCCAGGCGGACTGGAATACAATCGTCATATAAGTATTGATACTGCAATCCTACATTTGATTTAATAATAAGCAAACAACTGGTTAATACAGTTGTTTAGTGGAACATAGATTTAAGCGATATATTGTAACATAACATCACGCCTTTTATCCCCGAAGGGGTAGGCAGTGGTACACATTACGACACTCAATGCCACTGTGCAGTTTAATACCCACTTTTCATTGGTATATATGGGTCTCATAACATAATTAATGAAAAGTGGATGTTACATTGTACAATGGCATTAAGTGCCGTATAGTGTACCTCTGCCTACCCATTCGGGGATAAAAGGCGTGATGTTATATTTATGTATTCTTCTTTGAAAGGTGCAGGTTAGTTAAGGCATTTCCTTACGCTAAGTAACACCATAGTCAGAATTTTAATTCGATTCCAAATTTGACATTAGCTACTGTCATTTTGTGAAATAATGATACCACATGTAATAGTCTAGTGATGAACACAAAAATCGATAAACAATCAGAAAGGCTAGATATGTTAATTAACAATATCACAGACACATTTATAATAAATGTTACAGAAAATGACAGCGATAGCGATAGCGAAGACGGCGACAATTTATAAAATAAATTATCTGTTTTATTTGTCATGTTCCTTCGTGATCACATTTTTTTATTTATTTCACACACATAAAAGAAAAGTATCAGATCGTTAATTAATCGTCAAAACTAAATTATCGGTTCAGAAATATTTAATTTCCTGATATACTTAGTTTACGAGTGTAAAATTATAAGCGAGAAGAATCGATTCGGAAATATATCATTTCCATATCGAATAATTTCGCAACGTCTCTATTTGGTACTTGTCATAACGTTGCAACACTGAAATTGTCAAATCTGGAATCGAATTAAAATTCCGAGTATAGTTAAGAGATGGTTGAGATGGCTGGTGGGTGAAAACAGCCATCAGTGAACTAGGCTAGGTCTAAGTCGCATCTACAACAAATCCCAATATAAATGTGAAGTTTGTTTGTTACCTTACGCGGGTAAATCTATCAATGTGAAGATACATACCTATAGTTAGCAAAAGCAGAATTATGTCCGTCCTCCCTGCGCAGTATGTTGTGTGTGGGTTGTTTCTGTGGCCGCTGTGGAATGAAACTGTCCGCGGGAACCACGGGCGGCGCCGCGGTACGGAGCTTGCGGCCGTACGACAAGTTCAACATGTTGTTCGCCGTCATCCTGCGCACACAACAACGGAAATTACAATATTTTTACTCGTCGAGTACCGGTTTTGTAGACACAATTATAGAACAATAGGTTGCGGTCACCGGTGACCGCTTGGTGTTTGACAGTTTAAATTACAAAATTATAGGGATCAATTATTTTTAACATTGGCTTGTAATTAATATTTATACACAAATATGTAGAAGCTGAATTAAGGAAAACATTCAAAATACAGTTTTTTTAGTATTTCAACGAACTTTTACTGAATAACATTAATAGTATATAGTGAAAATAAAATTCTATTCGGTTTATACGGAAATTGCTCATTGGCTAATGGACCCTAATCGTGACCAGACGGTTGGCTATTTTTTCGGACAGAAAATAAGCATTGCCATTCAACGTGACAATGCTGCCAGTCTGCTGGGAACGTTCCCCAGCAACAGTTATGTGGACGAATTCTTTGGCTAACTGATGGATTTTTATTCTTTTTTTATTCACTGTTTTAGTTAATTTTAAGTTGTATCTATTTATTCATAATTATGTTATTTAAGTTTATCATTTGTAAATGAAATATTCTATGATGTAGTTGAAACTATGAACGTATCTTGTGTAATCTGTGGTCAGACAACAGATTATAATTAGACGAGTGGAAGTGTCAGAGCTATCACTTAACTCGTCATTATAGACACAATTATAGAACAATAGGTTGCGGTCACTGGTGACCGCTTGTTGTTTGACAGTTTAAACTGTTCTTAAAAAAATATGTAGCATATTTGCTCTTTTCAGGTGTTTAAGTTTCGAATGACGCATGTAAATGTGACATAGGATAGAATATTCTTACCTGTAAAACCGTGCCTCTTCGAAGAGATCCTCAGTCATGGCTCCGGGGAAGGGTTGGTCGAACATGACGAGGTATGAGGGGTCTGCATTAAGTTTGTCGGACAGTCGGACCGTATTACTGGGCCCGGGGCTGCAGACGGCGACGACGGTGCCGGCGGCGGCCAGCGGCACCGTGATGTGCCGCGCCACGCACACCACGCGGTCGTACAGACGGAAGTCTGCCCTCGGGTCCGGACACAGGTTGCCGCTGTGGAGCTCCGGCTGGGGGGGGGGGGTACATGATAGTATGACAATCCTCCAATGACTCCCGCCCTGAGTAAGGCGAGTATCACACTCTTGACTAAAAATCACCCTATTCCTACTCCTACTTCGATCAACCCTAGTCAGTATTAGGTATCTTAGTAGTAGATATGAGTAGCACATTTATTATAGATGCATCAGTAGACGGTGATTATGTTATACGAAAATGGAAACAAAAGTAAAAGACTATAAAGGAGTTAAGGTCACAGGAGCATTAACGAAACAGTTAAGCATCAAATAATATTATACTAATATAATAAATGACAAAGTTTCTTTGTTTGGACGTTTGTCTGTCAGTCACACTGAAACTACAGAAAAGTTTTTGATAACATTTGGTATACAGGCGGGGATGGGCTGAGTTAGGTGATAGAATACTTTTTATCCCGAATAAATGCCCCCATGAAGTAAAACAAGAATCATATTCTACGCTGACGAAGTCGCAGGCAACAGCTAGTCTACTAAAAACTTTACCACAAGTTTCTTTCTATTAAATAACTAGACAATAGGGTAGATAAGCTTCGGAGTCGCGGAGAACCTAACGGGTTGCCGGGGCTCCGGATCGAAGTGCAGGAGTAGGAACGGGGTGGTTTTAGTCAGTAAGTCTGACAGTCTCTTCCGCCTCACTCAGGCGGGAGCAGTCATTCGATGATTTTCCTCCCTTTTTATTTTAATGTCCGTCTAGTAGAGTCTTTTAAAATACACGTATTTTTTAATTTCTTACAGAAACAAATACTTTCGAAGATAATATTGATTTAAAAAAAATCCCGCGACGTCACTTCTATGTACATGTTATACGTAGAAATGACGTTTTAGCTCCCACTTCTAAACTTTGATTCGTTTTGTCTGGAAAAAACACGTCTCTAATAGTTTTTCATTACCTAAGTGACGGACTAATTAGATTTTTAATTTTCATTCCCCGTCATCATTACTATTCACTCATAATTCTCACCTTATATAGCAAGTTCCACTTGACCTGGATGGAGTGCGTCTTGTCAGGCCCGCAGAGCGCGGCGGCCTGGGCGCGCAGGTCGGCGGCGAGCGCCCGCATCTCGTCGGGCTCCAGCGCCTCCGACCCACACTCGCGGCGCGCGGCGCGGGTGTGGGCCTGCGCCTTTATCCACTGCGCTATATCTTGTGCTTTGTTACTACTGTTAAAGGAAATCATATTTTTATATGTCATTATTTTGATTTAATGTTTGGAATTCCCTTATATAGTACTGTAATAAACAAAAAGTACAAATCTTACAGGATACAAAATATGAAATCGGTGAAGTACCTAAACGAAGATTGTTTAAAATCTACGACTTTAAAGCGGAACTTTTAGTCGGTTTCAAAGATCCTCAACAGGATTTTATTCAAAGAAACCTGTCCAGGTTACCGGCTATATTCTAAGATACCTCCTTTCTAAGGTAGATACAGAGTGTTACAGAAAAAAGTCTTACTGAACTATTTTCGTAAAATTAACTCAATTTCTGTGTGTCTGTTACATCACATCTTATCTTATATACTATTAAATAAAGCTCATCTTCATCTTCAATCATATCTCAGGAACTATACATAGATCCAATTTGAAAAATTACTTTTGTGTTGGGTAGCATATTTATCGAGCAAGGCTATAAAACATCAAGCTGCGATCTATAGCAGCCGAGTAGATCGGGTGAAAACGCGTGGACGTAGGTAGTTATAAAAATAAAATGTCTCACCTAAAATCTTGTGGGTAGAAATCACTTTCGAAGTATGTATCCTTGCTCTGTTTTCCCGAGCTGATAACGTCGAAGATCTCAGGATACTTTTTCTCGTACGCTAGCACTAGTTCTATGCAACGCTCGGAGTATAGCCACGTATTGGTCACTTTACAGCGACGTGTATAGCCGGCTACTTCGAGATTCTAAACGAATAAAAAATAAGTATTAATTATGATTGAATAAGGACAAAAAACTGATATTTTTTTTCTGATTTCACGTAATATATAGCATGAAATTTCATA